CATAATTAACTTTGATCCCTGATGAAATGATTTTAAAAAAGGCCTATTCTCTGTAAATCGTAACACCATAAATTGTAGGATCATAGCTCCTTCTGACCCCTCCCCCAACGCTAAAAAAAACGGTTCTTTGGCACGAGAATTGAGGCTTCGTAACGTTCTGCCCAATAACATAAGTAAATACATTGTTACAGCTGCTCCCGTGGTTAACAAGGAACCTTGAACAATATAAATGAGAGAGCCAAAGGTTTTCCATCGGATCACCCCAGTGACAAGAGAGAATGAGCTAAATGGGGTGGGGGAAGGGGTCTCTTTCAAAACCTTTTAGTATCACCCATTGTAAAGGTATATTCTCCAAATGCATCGATACATTTAAAGTGAGTGTTTATTCATTTCAGTAGCGTTTATTTAATATCTAAACACCCAAAATTATCCAAAATCACCCAACCCTGATTTAGCCTGAGAAATAAGCCGACATTTCGCGACGCCACATTTCGTGAAACAGTCGGGTGGCATCGTAAAATGTCGGCTTACTTTCTAAGGCTAACCCTCATTGGTCTGGTTTTGAAACAAATTTGCGGGCAAAAACGAATCTCTTTAGAAAATTGAACAGGTTTGAAAGATAGATTAATTAACAAGTTTACGAAAGAAAGTTGCGTTAGCTCCAGTGGTAAATCTGCTGAAAAAAAGGAAACCATCGACTGCAAAGAGGATGCTCGAAACAAATCCAGATACCTAGGAAAAAGGAGAATGAGAAGTAATAAAAAAGGAAGGGTCTTCTCGAAAATTTTCTCGAAAATTTTGCATATAAAGCGCACTTTCAAAGATCCAATGCACACGCCTTTTCTTCCCTCCCCCTCCCCCTCCCCCTCTCCCCTCCCCCCTCCTTTTGGTGTTGTCTGTCTACCTACATATTCACAACGACACCTGAAGAAGAGCAAGAAATAATGGATCGAAAGAGTTCCAGTTTAATTCTCTCCTTGGTACCCCGCGCTATTCTTTAGCTGTCCTTTCCGGCGTTTGGGTTTTCTGGTCGGTGTGAAATATATCGTCGCTTCAAAGGCTGCTTACCATTTGATAGAAAATTTCGGAAATTCCGGAGGGAGGGTAAATGGTAAGGTCACTTTTCGTAAATTCCAACCAAAAATTGAGAAGTTCGTTTTGAGTAGTCCGCTCATTCCGGTTCAGGTACGAACCAAGCGGAATGTTGCAGTTACCATTTACGAATTTTTCGGTTCCTTCTCGGTTCCAGACTCACGCTACACAAATTCGCCCCATTTTTGGATTCAAACTGTAACGGATGTGGCAATTCTGCGGTAAACTGTTAAATCGCTTACCATTATGCTTTTGATACCCCAACCGGATTTTTCTGTCAAATGGTAAACACCCTCAGCGTCCAAGTTAAACGACTGATTCCCAATCCTTGACTTATTCAGTCAGTCTAACTGAATGCAATTTGTACGGGTGACTGCACTGGCGACGAGAAGAGAAGTAAGTATTTCGTTTCGTTACATTGGGGCGTGCCGCTAGACACTGTACATGTAAATATATTTGGCCCTTCTATCTGATTTTATGTGAAGTGGTCCTGACTACAGTGGTTTTAATTTTTTTTTAGAGGAACAGCGGGGACGGTGGTGTCGGTAGTCATTGACCTAAACAGGGATAAAAAGCAGAGCTGTTGTCCGATACAAAGAAGGTAGTTTAGATTTGTCCTATCTTCAGGGCCGGGGGTGCTTCCTGTAATGGCCTACACAGGGAGGCTCCACCCGAGGGGAGATAAATACGCGTGTCTCCCTCGCACGCCCCGTTCTTTCTTGCGCCCATTACTTCCAAGCGCCTGCTACTCAAGCTTGTTGATCGTAGGGAGCGATTTAAATTTTGCGGAGACTGGAACAGGCTAATTTTGGGATACTTACCACTGACACCGTAAGAATTTCTGAGAATTTTCTCAAAAAAGGATTCTTGTGCCATTGTTCGTCGTACACATCTTTCAAGAAGTCAGCCATGAGAGCTGAAGTAAGTAAAACCAACAGAGCAAACAGGACGGAGATACTGAGCAGCTTAAAAAAAAAATATGTTAAAGAAAGATCATTCAAGTATGTCGTGATTTTATGTCTTGATCAGACTGGGAGAGTTGTGATCAATACAGGTGAAAATAAATTTACAGATTTTCGCAAAGCAAATGAGCCGTTCAAATGTAACTTTATTTAAATATTCCCTCAAAATGTTCTAGCAAACTGAGCAGAAGACAAAATTTTCCAAACCCTCCAAAACTGCAAACACATACCTGTAGTTGTTCTAAAGAGTTTTAGAGGCTTAAATAAATAAGTTTCTCGATATCATACCCACTTGTGAAAAACACTACTTTTAATGCCACTTGAAAATGGGTAAATTAAACTAAAGAAAAATTTCCTACACTTCGAAATATTAAACAATATTTATTCACTGAAAAGACTGTAAGCTTATATCAATTTCAAACAATTAATCAGAATTAACCTACTGCAGAAAACTGATAGCTAAAAATTAGCTACTCAGAGACTCGAATGTCTGAAGTTTTGAATTAAAAATTGCGGATTTTTTATAGCTTTTTTTCACAAAGGTAAAGCGGAAGAAATGAAACACTGATAATGAGTAAAGCAATTAAAAGCCTCAAATACTGTAATGCGACAATATCAACATTTTAGCTGATTAGATATCTTTTCTCGAGATCCAATGTTGACAACCAACAGGATCTTCGTCCACGGTTTTTGCAGTTAATTTATTTATCATTGTACAAATTAAATATATGTCAGAATTGAATTATAAGAGCACTTAGAAGCGAGTGGCTCTACCTCGTCTTTGCAAGTTGTAAACTTGGTCTGTGTTACATATGGTAATCAAAGTTTGGTACAATTTTGTCACATTTAGCAGCTCAGAGAACATTTTGGCAGGAGAGAAGTCTGTTTATTATTTAGACACCGATGAAATACCAGGATTTTTTCAGTGACAAAAATTGAGTATCTTATGAAGACATAATTTTTATCCTTCACATGTCAAGATATCACGGTTGTCATGGCAACTACAGTCTTAGCCAATAGGAAAAGAGCATCACAGCATCTCGCCATCGGTGTCTATATAATAGAACAGATTATTATATAAACACCAATGAACTACCAGGTGAGCTTTCGCGCGAAAACTTGAACCACATCTTCACATGTGAAAATAACATGTTATCTTCACATATGAATTAAAAATATCACCTTTGCTATGGCTACAAAATAAATTCGCCCCTTTCACACCAAAAAACTATTAACGTGAAATGGTTGGTATTTCATTGGTGTTTATATAATAAATAGAATATTACCTGGCCGCTTGGAGATACGAAATTTCTCTTCTCGCGTGTTTTGAAAAAATATTTCACTCGTTCGCTGCGCTATTTTTCAACACTCGAAGAGAAATTTAGTATCTCCGCGCGCCCATGTAATATCCTCTATTTATCATACATGGCAGACCTTTCAAATCCTTTCCACAGTTAAAGTTTTATACAGTAGAACCCCTGTAACTCGAAGTCTGAAGCGAAACGAAGAACAGTTTGAGTTATCGGGGTAAATTTCAGTGACATTTTTTATCAAGGCCGGGAAAGGAACTATAGTTCGAGTTAGCGGCGAAATTTGACGAGTTAGCAGAGTTCGAGTTATAGAGGTTCTACTGTATTATTCCGTTCACTGAAATATTTCACGTCTTTCTGCAGGTACTGTCATCACAAAAGAAACAAAGGAACCAAACAATAGAGTTCTCCTGGGGCCTTTATTGTTTGGTTGTATTGTTTCTTACGTAATCTGTGGAGTCGGTACCAACAGAAGGAACCAATATTTCTCCGTTTCTGATAAGTGACCTTAAGATACACCGTTTCTTTCTACGGGTTCGTGTAAACGAACATGTTTGCCACGTAGGTATACGAATTCCAGAAGTGATAATGGCATCAACCTTCTACCGGGTAGTCTACCGTTTCTCCGGGCCGGGGTAAGAGACAACTCTCCGGTATTCTCACTGGGGGCCGTCACGCACAAACGCCCCCTGTTCCCGTGGGGCCCGTGCACTGGGAAACCCGTTGTGCATATATTTGTGACTTTAGTATAAATTGGCCTGTTTAATTATGTTTATTCCTCTCTTCGTTAAAACGGACACCAGACACCTTGGCTGTCGCTCCACCCTCCTCCCCGCAGCGATGGCACACTTGTTGCGCCTTAGCTCCCGCTCCTTTCCGCCTCCGGGCTCGCCTCTTCCCATAACTCATCTCATCCTGGGGGCGTTTGGGAGTGGGGGCTCCCGGCGAGAATTTATAACTAATAACAGCTACGCGTACGGGTAATTTTCCGTGTACGGGTATTTGTACACGGAAACGGTGTTTCTTAAGGTCTCTATCACGGACTCAAATCCTACGGCGAATTCTTCATAACCAGTTAGCAATGACCAAATTTGGAAGGCGATTTCGATATCAGGAATTTGACGTCAATAGTACGGCGATCGACAGAAAAAGGGACGGCAACCGAGAAGACTGCGTTGTTTTGGTAGAGCAGTAGAAAGTGGCGCAACATTTCACGTTTCGCGGAGACGAAGTAGCCGGACTACTATTGCCTAAAAATATAGCATTAATAATAATAATCATAATAATCATAATAATCATAATTTATTAGTTGTTCAATATCTGCTAGTCAGAGTAAAGATCCTTTTACATCCTGAACTTGACAAGAGAGAGGCAAATGAACACCACCTCGATCTTAGATCAGCCTCATCCAATAATTGCCAAGAAGCAAGCTGAGAACGGTTTTAAGAGATTTATTGTATTTGACTTTGCGGCCAAAATTCAAGCAGAATCAAAATTGCGGCTGTAGGTTTCTGTAACACAAACCCTTGTATACCATACTCACCGATAACTTCTCACCCAGACGTTCCTTGGGGCTCGTCACGCGTTCCTACCACAAGAACGTTCTTTGGGGAGGATTATGTGACGAGCCAAAAGGCTAACTCACCGCAAGAGTCAAGTCTTTCTCTGTCAAGCCGAACAGGAAGACCAAGAACACCAGTAGAACCACTACCCAGCCAATGACGAAAACTGCCATGACGAAGTCGTACCTCACTAGAAATTTGTCGCTTACGACAGCAAGTTCACGGTCAAAATCCCTCAGACATGAAAACGCCATGCACATAGTTACCTGTAAAAAAAGAAAGAAAGAAAGGTTGCCTGAAAGAGCACTTACCACCCACCGACATGCAGTCGTTAGCTAAGATGAATATCAGTTTCTTAAAGGGACAGTGTCCCGATTATGCGCACGCGCGAGCGTCATCTGCTTTTTCTTCAAAAGACAATAGAACTGTCAAATTGACTCGACAAGATTTCCTTCCGGACCGCCGACAGAGATTTGTTGTTTATATTCTCAAGTAATATTTTAGACTTTCGAAGACGTCTTTCGTCTTATATAAAAATTTGGCTCGCGGTTCGAAGACTCATCGCGATTTTATCGCTAGCTGGGCCGCCTCGCGACCCGAAAATCTCGTTCCGCTCGCTTTAAAAACATATTTTCTAATTTGAAACTCGTGTCAGAGGTCAATCGCTCCAAGTCCAGTAATATCTGCCTAATTTGCTCGCGTTCTAGCCTCAAACGTTTGAAAGACATAAATAAAAATGCAATCTCAACGCTATGAATCATCACAAAGGTTAGTCAAGAACGATATTATGATTCATGTCACCAGTTTTTCAAAACGTGTAGCGCCTGTTTGGTCGATTTTGTCGGCCGTACGGAGATTCATTTAAAAGTTTATTAACGCGTCGTTGCAAAACATTCTGCTTCACGAAGCTCCCCTCCACAAGATCTCCTCAGTCACATCAATGTCTCAACGGTTTCTTTCTTACAGTCTTTATTGTTGCTGTTTCATTTCTGCGTATTCCTTTCACAATTATCTGAGCTTGTATGGAAGCTAGCAGAAGAAATAAGCCTTGGAAGTAGTGGGCACAAGAAAAAACGGGCGCGTGTCTCCCTCGCGCGTGCCTGTTCTCTCTTTCGCCCGCTACTTCCAAGCGCCTGCTACGCAGGCTAGCCTTCAATCGGCATCAAAGTGCTTCCAATCTTTTGGTCCTCCGGCAAACGGCAATGAAAGTAACGCCAAAAAATCCAGATTTTGCCCAAATCGAAACTTAAAAGGAACAATATATCATTGATCTGTAATCCTGAGACGTTTTAGTGTCGTATTGAACCCGACCAAGCGCGATGCAAACGGATTTTTCAAGATTATCTTACTCTCCTCGCATCTTTTGATTTCGCGACATCCTGTCCAAAAATCAAAGTTTGGTGCATGCGCAGTAACGGGATACTGTTCCTTTAAGGGGTTGTGAATTGAGTGAATGCAGCATAAAAACAACTGGTGCATTTTGTAGTGGGTGCGCCGGAAACTACAGAGTCGAAATAAAGTATAAAATAACTGATACCAAGTCAAATCTTCAGTTGATTCTGCATGTAATCAGCTTCATTCGATAATTGTTCCGAACGGCGTTTAACTCTAATTCCATACTCTCCCTAATTTTTCCAGGCACTGATGAGGTCAATCGAACGTTGTAGAAGGCCTGAGCGTAATAAACGGCCCCAAGTCCTAAATGTAATAACATTTTACCTGGGGGAGGGCTCATTAACTTTTTCTCGCAAATGCGGCGCTTATTCGAGTAAATAAGTAATTGGCAACATTAACAAGATGAAGACAACCCCTTTAATGCCGTTTTTACTTACGTCATTGATGACGTTACAATGACGTCAATACATTTAAGGCCTCTGAAGTTATTACTCTTAAGAGTTTTTTTACATTTAGGTTCGTTTATTGCATTTAGGCCTCTTGAGAAACGTTGTATAACTCTAAATCTGAAGTACTTACAAATTCCAAGATTTTGAGTATCCCTTGCATAGATTTTACGTATTCCGTATTTAGTGTCATTTCTCGTTTACCCCTAAAAAAAAGAAAGAACTCCAGCGACAAAAACGAAAAACCATGAAAATTTCATTTAACAGAAAAAGTCGCCTGCAAGTTGCAGTCGGCCCACTTTGCGCACTCGTCTAAACCATTTGCATAGTCCGTCTACGAATTAGTGCACAAAAAGCTTCCTTTCTTTCCTAACCCTTCCCCCTCCCCTATCTAAAATCTCCTCTCCCTTAGCCCCTTAGGAAGGCCTGATACTCAGGCTAAATCAAAATCAAAAGACGTTAATTCTACGGTACTTGATACAATTCTTTGTCGCATCCAACTTTCAATTCAAATAAGCGCCGAACTAAGGGGCGTTAAAATCGAGTAAATACGGTAGTCTGTTTACCTCTTAAGTGACCAGTAAAACTTGGCATTTGGGTTTTTGGGTGGTCGCTTACAGAACTTTTCACTGTAAGAAGAGAGACGTTGATGACAAATAACGGAAAATACTGCTTTCCATACTTTGCATGACTGAGGCTTACCTTTTTTGTTGGATTCTATTTTCTGCGCTTTTTTCCGGCGATAAACACTTGTTGGAATTGCGACTGGTCTTAGCACGCTGAGAAACAAGTTACACATACAGTGAATACGCGTCTTGCAGGGTAAAATAATATAAGCATACACTTATAAAAGGGAAAAGGATGTCAACTCGCTTAAACCCAACCAGACTCGCTTAAACCACTTCACATTTAAGCAATCCAGCAACCGAATTTCCGCAATTTGCGTTAAATCTGTGAGAAAACAGTCATACTCAAGAAAAAAGTTATTGAAGATTAGACCAGTATGAGAGTGGACCACAATTTTGACAGAAATGTGGCAATTCGTGATCAGTATACCAAGCGTAACCAAATATATTAGGGCACATTCATGTAAAGTGTGCATTTTAAGACATATATATTATATATAACATTTTTCAATATTTCAGCCAGCGAAAGTAGCAATGAGTTTACTAGACGAAACGATACAACCTTCAATTTGCAAATAAAGAATAAAATGCAACGGCCGGATAAGTGACATGAAATTACTGACAGGAAATGATGCGAATAATTATACCGGCATTCCATTACACGCGTTGAAGTGTTCCTGCTAAAGAGAACACTTTTAGCTTCACGTTCTGAGAAACGGAAAGCGTTAATTAAATTCTCTTTATCGGCTCTACTGTGCGAGAGTGGTGTCAGACTGTATAGCCAATGACTACCTCGATTAGCTTTCGCTATTGGTGGACAGTAATGATATGTAATTTTTGGTACTTAGTAATGACAGTAATAGCAATATTGAAGTGAAGTGGAGCAAAGTGATGTGAAGTGAAATGTCAAGAGATGGTAGCTTTCTTTCCGTAGCCGTTGAACAGAACCTTAAAAACAATATTTACAAATTCTAAGAATGAAACTTATTTCCACAGTTACTGAGCACATTTAAGATCTTGGTAATGTGGAATTTTTATTAGGTAGTTTCGAGCCAGAGTACTGAATGCTGATAGCTTAAGTTACTGAAGTTCTTCCTGTGGCAACCAAACACGTTTAGACTGCTAACGGTCCCTTAGGCAATGTCTTCATCCTACCGAAAAGTTTTTCTTGTCCAGTCGACATGAAAAGCTATCCGTTGATATAATAAGAACCTCGCCACCCGCCACTCTTCGAACGGCCCTCGCCACTCGCCACCCGCTACCCGCTGCCCGGTACCTAGCTATCACCAGCCCACGACGCGACCGCAACGAGAAAAACTTTGCACGTGCATCACACTTTTTTGTACATTTTTTTGCCGTTTTTTGCACGACTGCGACGTGAAGATGCCTAATTTCGCGTTAAATGGGAAACGTAAACAAGCAACAACAAAATTTTATTTCTCTTTCTGAACTTGGATAAGGTCCCTTGGAATTCAACTTCAGGAAGATTCGCCTTTATTTGACAAAGTAAGTATCCTAACTAGAAATAATCGTGATAAAGACTGAAAAAACTCAAATTCACTTTTTAACGACTTTCTCGTTGCCGCCGTGTCGTTGGATCTTAAAGTCTCTAATGCCGTGTCAAACGCTCGCTTGGACAATGTGACCCGAATCGCATAGGTCGGCCGCGTGGAATAAGGAGGCCTAAGGACTAGAGGGACAGGGACAAGCGTACAACCTACGGAAGTTTTCAGTGATACATTTGGTCTGCGCCTAGGCTCATCTTCTGTCTAATGGGGGCCCTTCGTTCGTTGCATTAGTCTTGTTTCCATGGAAACCATGGTCGTTTTGGCTGCTAGTAATTTTTTTCGCGGGCGAGCATATCACGCTTAATTTTTCTTGAGAGGCTGCACACTACTAAGAAACCAGAGACGTTTATCAGGTCTGGGAAACTGCCCACCTGCCTCTCCCCTAAGCCTACATTTTGGCCTAAGTGAGAAGTAAGTGTTAATGTTTGCTTAGGGGAGGGGTAGATGGGCAGTTTCCCCGAAAATTATAATGATCCAGTAATGTAATCCACGACAGTCTTGGATTCTGGATTTTACGCTGTGGATTCCTTGTCAATGGAAATTGGATTCCGGATTACAATCATTAGCGGGATCCGGAATCCGGGAGCAGGATTTCCTTACACACGTATGAGGCGAAAGTTGAGTTTGGTTTAGTACTAGACCAAGAAATCAGTATTAAAAGTTTTATTTATTATTATTTTATTTTTACGTTATTCTATGCGAATTTGGGCTTTGAGATCCCCCTTTAATCCCTACTTTTGAAAAATACTCGGCTGACTATTCAAAATTCTCCCATTAGGGTTTCCTCGGCATCTACTTGCACAAACTTACGTCAAACAGAAGAAACAAAACAACGAAACTGAATAACCGACTATCACTACATGTACGTAAATGTACTCAACAACACCCGAGGTAAGTTTTTTTTGTAATTCAAAAAAAAAAAAACTGAAAATATATGTAGGATGATGCCTGAGGTCCGAGACCTCAAAAAAAAGGACCGAGCGCGCAGCGCGAGGTCATTATTTTTATAAGGCCGAGGAGAGGCACCATTCCTTTGTTTTAGAACCAGAAGGTCATTATTGTGGCCATTGAAATGCAACAGTAGGTTATAATTCGTAATAATAACCTCCTGTTCCACATCAGTGACCTGCCCTTCCATTTATTGAAAGTAATAACCCGTTCAAATCAACGGGAAAGGTGCATTAATGTTTAAAAGATCTTAGGAGTCTCTTAAAGCCATTACAAACAAACCACATTGTAGAACTGAGGAAGTTTTATTAAGTAGCTTCGGGCCACAGTACTATACGTTGAAGACAACAGTGGATAAAATTGCTAGCTGTCCCTTAGATTATCGCGCGAGCAAGAAGGTTACGAGCTCGCAAACGAGAAAAACTCGGCCGTGTCTTCCCAGTTTCTTTTCTACCCGTTCTCGGCCCAGTCTCTCCCGTCCCTCCCTTGTCTCACTGCTCAACTAAAAAGAGATTGCTGACAGTCTTAAACAATAAACTTTACTTGAACACAAGGATTTAAGAACAAATCCAATTCGTATTGAACACTGGTGAAAAGACAACAACATATACTGTTTCATTAAAAATACTTTTTTACCTAACTATGGACAATGTCATAAAAAGTCTCGCTATACGCTTTGATTTCAGTCACAAGCACATTACGAGCGATTAATTTTTTTTCCTGGATTTACTGATTGCGAGCTCAAACACTTTAGAGCTTATACTTTTTTCTTTTTTATTTACAGTTTTGTGATTTTGTCAAATCTTACCCGAAAAAATTACCCATGATAATAGTTAATCTGAGAGAAGAACACTAAGCCAAGTGCAAGATCCACGTGTGTAATCCTATCTGGCTCCGTACAAGCGTTTGTAAACTGGGGCCTTGCCTTGGCACAGAACACTCTAGAGATCTTTAGATTCAAAGACGAGTACGACTGCGAGTACGAGATTTTCTCAATACTAAGAAGTGATCGCGCGTAAATAAGCGTCATTATGGCGGGAAAATACGGTGGTAGCCGTCATCATTCTACTACGCGTTTTAATATGTCCTAGACTTGGAAACAAGTCATGAAATGTTAGAACTGTTTGCGATCGAGGGAGGGCTTAACCTCCGTCACTAAAAATAACAGTGTCAACTCTCTGGTGAAACAAAGTACAAGGAAGCTTTCCGGTGCATCTATTTTTTAAGGAAAAACGTAAAGATAAATCTCCTCTTTATCGCCCTCATCCTTGAATCTGAAGGTCTCTACTACTATCCAGTAGGGCCTACCCTACCGTTACACTCAAATCGACCGGTCTAAAGTCCATTGGGTCTAACCTAGGTAACAAAATCGACACAAACATTGTACGCTCGAAACATTATGTTCTACCGAGATCAAAGCATCCATTTACCTCTCAACCGAAATTTTGGTAACTTTTCGTTGAGGTGCAGCTGGAGACGATAATTCTAAAAAGTGGAACGGCAAGTTTCTATCCAACAGCGCTAACAGGTCGACCACTTTTAGAGTTGGCTCACTTTTTCCCCGAAAACAGCCACCTGGAACAGAGCATTCATACTTGGACCAAAATGCCCGGAAATTTTGCCAGAGTGGCAAGCTTAGTATTGGCAGGTGCAAAACTGATCGGACCCGACGATTTTATTTGCGCAGTCCTAAAAGGCAACTAAAGCAAACCGCTTAAGCGGTTAAGATCACGCGATCGGATATCGAAACGTCAAAGGTTTCAATGATCAACCGAGGTTACGAAATATTCGTTACAAAAAATTTCAAGTTCTTGTCGCCTATGAGTTAATACTAACACAAGGAAACTAAAGAGCAATAAATCGGTTGTTCACTGAAATAGGGTTTGGGGGGTAAAATGTACTCTACTGTTTCAGATTAACGATATTGACGGCTATAGTACTCTCAACATTACTAGAAAATTGATTCATAAAACATCTTAAGCGTTGTAATTTTTTTCTTCTCCACAGAGGTCATGAAGTGTTCTCAACAACCACAAAGCTGGGCGGACAAGGCTTCTGAAGAACCATACTGCCCCCAGGTTCAAGTTCCTCGGATAGTTTCGCGAGGACGCGAAAATTGTTCATGTTATAAACGCCCGGAAGAGTAACTAGAGCGCTGAATACCAACGACGAAGATCCGCTTGAGGGCAAGTGAAATCTGCTTGAGGTTTGCCCAATCCAAGTAAGAGAACTGGGAGACGATTTTGACGCAGGACTGGAATCCGTGTCGAATGAAAAGAAGTTGTCTTGGGCGTCGGTAGGTTTATCTTCTAAGACTGCAGTCGAGTTTCCAACACTAGAAAGAAGACAGGGATGTAAGGACCTCAAAGGGACAACTTGTTTGAAAGTAACAGGAAAACATGTGGCACGTGTGTTTTGACATCGTTTTCAAAAGTCTCCAGCGGGTTCGAGGGAATTTCATGTGATTTTATTCAAGACAAAGTCAAAGTCGTATCACTAGGGATTTGGGTAAGGAAAAGCGGAAGTGGGGAGGGGGGAAGAGGGTACAAAACATGGGGACAGAGAAATGACGAGGTTCTTTGATTGATTAAAGGCTTTCTCTGGTCTCCAAGTTGAAGGAAAAGGCTCTCAAGATAATGTCAGCCCTAAAAACAATAGAGAATTAAAATGCGCAACCTGGAAAACAATTCCACAAACACATCAACAGGTTTTGAGCAGCAGTTATGCAACAAGAGTTCCACTGAAAGACGTGCCAATCTGAAAACAAAAAAACAACAACATCACATGACAGGTAAAACTCAGGTACAGGATAAACTTTTGAACGTAGCCACCAAGGATTTGTCGGTAAAAATGCAATAAAATAACAAGTTCCCAATTTCCTCTTAATAATGATCGAAAAGGACCGATAAATTTTTGTCAGTTTGAAACATGGCTTTGGGAGTACAAAAAAGCACCGCATTATCAAACGTTTTAGGGTGAAAGGGTCACTTGTCCAAACAGAAGAAGCATTGCACTACTCACCATATATTTATAGTGATGTTTATTTGGTATTTAAAACAAAACGTTTCGAGGTATTCAGTCACTCAACACCTTCCACTCGGACAAACTCTGGCCTTTAAAATTACCTGCTGGTGCTAAAGTCCACTTGTAGTGATGCGGGATGGCGGAGCGAATATTTAACAAGTAATTCTTGGTTGTTCAAGCCACTGGGTGAGACTGTTTCATTCGAAACTGGTTCGGTGGGCTGTACCTGAAAAGACACCCATGAACAATGGCTTGTCAGCGTCACTGAATGATCAGAATGTTGAAAGGGTGAATCAAGGCACAAAAGCAAGCAGCAACAGAAACAAAAAACACACAACCATAGACACAAAGGTAAAGAATACCCAGAGAGAGAAAGCTACGTAGTTTACAGACCACGATTATAAAGATTTATCCACATTTCGGCGCGCCGCCTTTCGTCACAAGAGGAGATTTTAGCCCTGTGCGCTTCAAGTAGTCCTCCAGAGAAATATGAACCAAGTCATATTCAACAGTATATAAACACAAGGAGTTATTTTCTTACCTGAGCCTGTGTCACAGCTGAAACAGTTTCCGCCAATCTGCTGATGTTAACATGGTTCTGACCATTAACAATTTGCTGCTGAAAATCCTTGTCTATGTAAGACGTCTGGTCAAGAAGAGAAAATGGAGATCTTTAGACTCTAAGACAAGGACGACTACGAGTACGAAATTTTCTCAATACTAAGTAGTGCGGACGGGTGAACAAGCGCCATTTTGGCGGGAAAACGTGATAGCCGTCGTCATTTTATTACGAGTTTTAGCAAGAAATTCGTTGTGGCGGGAACAACAACAGTTAGAGGTTTATCATTTTGCGACCGGGAGAGGGCTTAACCTCCTTCAATAAATGTAACCGTGGTAATATTTCTGCTAACAGAGAGGACAACGAAGCTTTACGAGGTGTATATGTTTTTCGAGAAAACTAAAAGAAACTTGTAAGTTAAATCTCGTCCTCAAATCTAAGGTCTATAATGAAACTGAAGCATTAAGTGAGAATTGCACAACCCACACCTTATTGATCACTAAGATTAATATAGAACATAACTCAATTATAGTCACTTATGCGGAAGCAACTGAAGAACACAGTTTGTTACCTAGAAGCCAAGGAGAACTTAGGACTCAAGTTACCTGCCAAAAAACAATTAAACCGATATCCACTTGTGAGGCATCATCGACGCTCCCAGCTTCTTTGGGCTGTGAAAGTTTTTTCTGCTCTTGCCAAGAATCTGATCTGAAGAAAAAGTCCACAGCAGGCGAAGATGAGGCAGGAATCTACAACAAAAAAATACTCATAATGTCACTTATTACCTTACAGCAAAACCATTCAAGTGTGCACAGGGTTCCCGCCATGACCGTAAAAGGTAAATGTCTTCCAAAAGACGACAAAAAAATTACTTACGCTAAATCCTGTTTAGCAACCTTACTAGTAATATATTAATTAATCTTCTTTCCTCTTAACGATTTTGTTTGTTTTTTTCTTTTGTATTTACGTTGCTATATTTATGCAATGTGTGTAAGAAGCAAATAAAAACATAAAAAAATCAAAACCAAAGGTAAAGGTAAAGATTTGTTTATAGTGGAAGCGCACTTAGTTTCCATTCCAGCTAGTAGAGAGTATAATCTTCACATACACAGCGAACGGCAAACGTGAGATTAGAGTTGTGAATTTCTTAAAATAGAAAATAAGCGGATAAAAACAGCTCAAAACAACTGTTACGGATAAAAATATTGCGTGAAACTACTAATTTAGGTGTAGAAGTAATGAACAGTAAACGACAAGTAAAGGGGAAACTTGATAAAGGGTACAAATTCGCGCAACAAATATCCAAATAGAACATAACAGAATTAAAAACCGCAATTAGCAGGAGACACTTAGTTAGCTACTTACAAGAATGACCTAGGATTTGAATTAGGGACACCGAAAAACAAATCAAGCGTGATGGGAGGGAGCGGGACTCGAACCCAGGACCACTGGATTGTGAGTCCGGCGCGTTGACCACTCGGCCACGCTGCCTCCAGCTTACCTCACTTTCCACGAAGCACACGTGACTAAAATGAAGTTCAGCCGTGGAACTGCATTCACCTGTTTAGACAAACAAAGAATGTTTAAAAATTAGGTGTGATGAAGGACCCAAACTGGCATTATACATGTAGTAAGCACCGCAGCTTTTACTTCTTTTCTAAGGAAACTTTTCACTTTGTATTTCGTATTTATTGGGTTCGTGAGAAAATCACCCCATACTAAAAAAAAAAGGCTCTTTACCTTGCCGTTTTGTTGCTTTAAACTGGACCATGACGGTTTCGCCATATCTGACTTTAATTGCACCATCTGTGAACAGAAAAGAGCACACCAACGTTAGTCTGAGGAGGACACTGGCCATCTACATTGATCAACTGAACAAGTGCATTAACAGTCATTGGTACAACATCATCCATGTCTTTCATTCTTCGCATCATCCATTTCTTTCATTCTTCGCGAGAAAATAACGAAAAGGATTTGATACTGAAAAATGGGTGTTTTTCATTTGTGGAGAAACCCAGACTTGTTCGACCAAAATGATGATAAGAATGGAGAGACTACCTTTCTTGGAATGCTACATCAACTATCACCAAGAGAGAATAATGAGGGAATCTTGGGGTGTTGGCCGGGATATGTGAATTTCAGTAAAGTAATTTTAGAGGTCGTAATTAAAAGGAAGAATTCCTGAGACGTCCGCACATTTTTATTGATTGTTTGAAACGTGTGACTGCCCCAACGTAAACAATGCAGAATATTGTAATGGCGACTGTTGAATTCTCTCTGGCCGATTAATTTCAAGCGTTTAATTGGTCTAAAAATAACTTTGGTGAAATTCACAAATCAAAGGGCTACACTGGGCGTTTCCCTCTCTGCCTATAGTTCTCTTTTGCTATCACGAGCCCCTGGAGAGTAACTGAAAATTGCTAGTCAAAAGCCTAGGTATAAAACGACAAAATGAAAAATGAAAAGTACCAGTTTTATTGTGACTTAAGGGCTGCAGAATCCATTTTCTGCTTGCACAAGAAACTTGAACCACAGAAAATTCAATGTGTTTTCTGGCAACGTCCCCCTGTATTGTAAACAAAACAAAGTTCAATGAACAAGCAAATCAATATAACTTACTTCATACCAAACTATGGGGGAATGTTTCCAATCGGGTATACTGTGAACTTTCTTCTAAAAATTGAACACTGGGCAATTTGCACAAACTCCTATACGCTAAATTTCGATATACTACGTCATCTCGGAACTCAGAGTTAAAGCGGTCAGTATATGTATTCAAAAGAACAAGGAGAAAAAGTAGTACAAGTTAAATGAAAGGGGTCCAATGCAGGAGTCCGTCAAAACAGCAATGTCGTGATGTTCAAGCTGACTTTGTTTGCAAACTTGAAAAGGAGCGGGTGGATGCTTTTGAAGTTTATCCGAAGACAGTCCGTTTGAATCTGCTAAATGGTATGTAGGTCCCCTTTAAGGTTTTCCTGTATTTCCTTTGTGTTCGTTTATGATTACAGACGGTTTTCTCATATTTCAGTCCATTCTAAGAGAAAGAAAAATTCCCCGACAACAGTTCTGTATACTGCACGTTTTTTGTGAGTACACGAGGAGTCGAGCGAAACCCGGATTATGCGGATATCCACAAAGCCTTCGCCAACAGCTTACACAGAGGGCGTCACAAAGGGTAGGAAGGGAAAGGGGAGGGTGGGGGGGGGGGGGGGGGGAGACAAGAGAAGGGACCATCTCCCTTTTCCCTTTCATCTTTTTTCTCCAAACGCCTCCCCTCCCCCGCCCCCTTCCCAATTTGCGACTGCCACAAAGGCTATTAACCACTGTCCCTCAATACACGGTGAGGTTTCCTATGCTTGGTCCAGAAGTATCAATGTTTTAGTTCATGTTGACCAGAAAATGGTAAACAGTTCACTAACCCGAACAAGACTTTCAACATCCAGTGCCACAATGAGCTGATTTTGATCCTCGGAACTACGAAATAATGAACATGAAGTTTAGCGCTACTTTTGATCCTCAGAACTGCAGAATAATAAACATGAATTTTAGCATTATTTAGACCTCTTTACTGTTCAGGAAAATTCGCCGTTGAAACATCATCTGTCTCTCACTGTACCTTAGCTTACCCTGACAACTAGAATTTTAATACCTACAATGCATTGAAGACGCGTAAAAATTAAATTTTTAATAAAAGGATAGCTGGAAACACTAAAATAAAAGGGGCAAAATGAAAAAAAAGACAAATTATAGCATGAACTTGAATAGAAGGGGTAAAAAACGCTCTGCGACGTGTTTCCTCAACAATTAAAAAGTGCAATGACTCATTACATACATTACGTTTGTAACATAAACATACCTCTGCGATAGAGCCGAATGTCTGTTCCGTCTTGCAGTGGCATGCACACCAACCGAACTATTTGTGGTAACATTGAAAGCATGTTGAAGTACTCGATATCTAGAAAATTAAACCATAAATTAGTTAGCTATCGACACCAACAGTTTCACCAAAACTGACACTGTTAGGGCCGGCATAACTCTATCAGCCTAGACTTTCAAAAAGTCCTTCGTCGGATTTTGGTTACTCAGGCTAAGTTCACATGAGCACTTGCATTTTCTGCTTGGGATGCCTGCGCTCTTTACAGGTAGCGACTTTTCGAAGCTGATGGCCAGAATCCTTACAAGCGATTCCAGCGCAACTTATGGCTTGATGAAATAACAAACTAAGGATAAAATACCATGATAAATTAAGGTACAACTCACCTCAGTAGAGACGTATTCTCCGTAGGCACATAGTAAAACAGCACCTCGCGCTTAAATCTGCCAGGCTTCTTGTGACCATGAACCCAGACCGGTAGTTTGGTAGAACTCCCTGGGGGAAGACCTCCCTCCGGGATGGGAACTTTGGAGACTCGAGTGATATCATCCACTGTTGAGTCACATTTAACATCGCTCACTGTTGTAGTTTCACCCGCTGATAATGGTGCTCGCCCAAAAGTAAAGAATTCTGGGTTGGGCGTAGTGATGTAGAGTTTCTCAAGGTGGCAATCACTGCAATTTGTGAACTCTGCCACAGTTTGCACCACTTCGTTACACAGAAGATGACTTGGAAATCCAGCAAAGCGAACCTGCGGTGAACGCAATATGGACTTAGCGATCGATTATAAGTTTAAAGGCTCGTTTATAACATAAATGGTCTCGACAATTAATCAAATGTTGCTGACAGCTGTACGCTGTACGTGTAAATCTTCCTTGCCTGCTGTTAGCCTAATGGTAAGGATTACCGTTTGGAGGCAGGCCAAAAAAATGAATTACCCTTACCGACCAAGGCATGTTCTCTTGGCTAGCAAGGGTGGATGGGGCACTGTTGAGACTTCTTGTCTCCCACCTATATTGCCCCGGTTTAAATCTCGAGGGCGAATCCATCTGTGGGTTGCGTTTGTCGTTGGCAATTAATCAAATAAAGTAATAATCCTTAATCTATATTTTAGCAGTACTGTTCTACTAAAAGCATCAGTACACACCTCAAGTAGAGGCATCGCCGACACCACTTCCAAGTTAAGACGATAGTCCTTCCCATAGGTAACACTGGTCTTCTCCGCTTTGGTGTTATTCATTCTCTGGCCCTTCACTGTCAAGTCGTTTTTACCCAAAATACTGACGGCGGCCATAGCTGAATTTGAGGCAGTAGATGTGGAGAATTTTTCTTCAACAGGTCCATTAATAGCCACACTACTCAAACTGTATTTTATTCCTGTGATGTCAAGACGACCAGTCTGGTACGGTATGAGTGTTAGACGAGCCTGAATTAAACAAAGCCTTCATGTAAATAACTTGTTATCAAAAGTTAAACCTTTAAGCCCCAACATCCACATGCAAATTCTCCAAACTGATCTCCATACATTTTCTTTAAGAATTAGTTGAGAGAATTTGATAAAAAATCAAGGCATTTTCTCTTAGGTGATCATTTTACTAATTCTCATAACTTTATCTCTTGACAATGTATGGACATCGTTAGGAGAAAATTGTTGTCGGTCACTATTAGGGTTAAACAAGGACAGGAAGTTCATTTTGCAAACAGACAGAGTGTGCAAAGACGACCAGTCTAGACCGGTATAATACGAGCCTGTATCAAACAACACCTTCATGTATACAACTTGTTATTAAAAGTTAAAAAATGACAGAAAGTTCATTTTGCAAACAGTGAGTGCCAAAGAAAGGTATCCGCCTTCGCACAGTGTTGCCTGTATTCCAAGGAATTATTTGTGCAAAGCAAATTTACGAGACCTAATCACTTATCCAACCCCGAATAAGCGCCCCTCTTTGACCCTAACCCTTAAGCCTCAAGAATAATTAAGATCAAATTTCTCCCAATGATATCTGTAATTCATAAAACAGAGTGGTCAAGAGAATATGAAGATATGATCACAGAAGATGAATTGAATTGATAATTTAACAACTTCTCCCCGCTGATTCTTCAAGAAACGAAAAGGGATGACAATGAGAATTTAAATTTTGATGTTAGGGTTTACAGGCAGAATTTAAATTTTGCGCTGAGAAAGCCTACCGATCTTCTTGCTCAGTTACTTTTGACTAAAAGGTTTGTAGAAGCAAAATGCGTCGGAACATTCACACATGTAACAATTTTCTATCTTCAAATGTCATTCAAATCGACGTAAAATTTACTTACGGGTTTTGTCTCAGTCCCATTGATGTCAAAACTCTTGATTACTTCTGTTTTAATAACTTCATTCCTGGAAGAGAACTTCAATGACAAGGGCACAAATTAATATTGTTGGTTTTCTGCTGACGTCACGACCGCGGCCATGTTGGTTGACAAGAACAAAGGCCTTTCCCTAGCCTGGAAATTAAAACTCTTTTTTCACGTAAATTGGCGCGAAAAAACTGGTATTGTTTTGTGAACCAACACGGCTGCCTTGTCCCGTGACTGCAAACCAAGAATAGTAACGGAGCTCCACGCGCGAGCGTAGCCAAATACCTAAGAAAATTTGGTAGTCAGAGTCTACCCATCCAAGAGATTTTGGTAATCACGTGACCGTACGCCTATATAGTTATTATTAACATTATGTCGTGCAGTTGATGATTCATTGTTGGGTGGCAGCTCCCCCTTGGGATTTAAACTTGAGTGCACTGTCATGTACGTAATCAGAGCTTTACTAACCTCATTGGAGATGCTTTCTTGTTGATTTTCCGGGGTGAATGTCCACAGTAATAACAGATTTGTCAGGTTAAGTGGAATCTTTAACGGGTTTTTCAAAACTACTTCAACTCCAACAGTTTCTGAAACACGAACACAACTTGAATGGTAAGGCCAGGAGTAACAATCAAGGAGTAAAACAATCTTATCACTGTGAATGCGTCATACCCAGAACAGAAATTCTTCCTACCCTTCCCTGTCTGTGGGTAAACACCAGCAGTGTTTTACTTAAATTAAACTATACTGTCGCATGGAAATATTTCTTTCTGTATTTTGAAAGGTGAGATTTTATGTTTGTTTGATTTTATCACTGGTTCTTGGAGGATGAGAATGTGGAGCAAAGTATTTGTCGGAGGAAACATGTGAGAATGGTGGCCTGGAAATACCGATGCCGATTTTGGCCAGTTGCTGTAGCTGCTGGAGAACCCCATGGTACATGTATTAGTATCTAGTAACTTTTCGCTGACTTGGTAGGAAATAAATTCATTTCATTTACCTCTAACAACACAGAGAGGTCTTGATGTGTTATCTGTCTTGCAGCTCAGATATGGCATATGAGGACGAAAAGACGGAGGCAAAGGAGTGATATTCACACTCTCAAAAGTCTCTTGTTCCAGTTGAATCCAATGCTGCGCAAGTTTAAGGTCCAAGTTGTCCTCAAAAGAAGCAAGTCCTATAAATGTCCAGTTATGATTTTTTTCGAGTTCATCTTTCGCAGTGAATACTTGATTCAAAAAGTTGTCTTTTGATTCATGCGTATTGTTCATAACCTTTCTGTCTCTAAGTTTGCTTGGAAGCAATCCATGTTGGTAGCAAGGTATAACTCTTGTTAAATCTTGCTCAATCAATGGCAATGGTAAAACAGAAAGTCTTTCTAATTGTGATTTCTCCTTCGGTTTCATATCACTCAGTTGCTGAAAGAGATGAAATTGCAGTGATTTTATTACAAATAGTCATGGTGAGTCCTGGAACTCATCTTGTGAAAAATCACGAGTCCCTGTCCATAACCAATGAGTCACAGTTCAAAAAAAAAACAAGACAATAAAAGACGTTTTCTACACAAAATCTTGATACCATTGCACCTGTTGTATTATTTAACGGCTTTTAGAGATAATCGTTTTGAAGCAAATTTTCTTGAAGCGATGATCCATCGATTTTACAATGTAGTTAACTTCATATTGCAAATTTTCCACGAGTAAACGCTGTGTTTTTTCTCCGCCTGTTAAATAGCCCGTGAAGATACAGAGATTAATCTCGTGTTACTGTCTCTTTCCACAGGTGCTTTTTCTGTCTTTGTTCAGGCTGTATAAGTCTGCGAGAAGGGTGGGGATGAGGGAAGTTGTGATCTGACACGTACATTCATACAAGTTAAGTTCAACGAACCCTAGCCTAGTCCCACGCAGGCGTTTTTAGGGGAGCTCGTAAAAGCGACTGCGTGGAAGGCTAATTGAACCCCAGCTGGCCTTCGTTTATACCTTGCACAGTCTACTGCTAACTTTCAATAAATACCTTAAAAACAAATAGAAATTCCCTGAGGTAGGAAGCCTGTTGGTCTGGTACTTGAAGGCTTTCATACTCTAAAAGTTGTCTAAAGAATGTTTGTGCATCCTCCAACAAACGCAAGTTAAATGACTGTCGGCCAAGCGTAAAGTTAATGTGGTCCTAGAAAGAGAAGACGCCAGCAAGATTACAAAACTTGGCCAACACCAACAGCTTTTAAATTAAGTTACAAAAATGCTATATATGCACGGGACTTTTCGACGTATAGCCTGTTTACATGGAGGTGGGAGACCCCAGGTAGGTGAGGTAACCAGCTTAGGTGGGGTAACCCGCCCGTCCATATAATCTCTCATTTTAATTTGATCACGTTTACATGATAGATGGCGTGACCTGCTGCGGGTTACCTCACCTACCTGGAGTCCCCCACCTTCGTGTAAGCAGGCCCTAAATGTGAGTCTAGATTTCCTTAAATGTTTACGGCTGCTTTCTAAAGAAAGTAGAAGGAAGCCTGATGCAATGAACCTGTAAAATCTTAAGTGCCTAGCATATGATTTGTTTGAAAAAAAACTAAGATTTCTAGTTGCCTAAGTGCAACATTTAATGTTAAGCATAGGCCACCGGGCTCTGCTAGAATTCTTGCGCCCCGAAATGAGTCCAGGATTTGTAATCAATTAGAACGGAGCTAACAAAAAAATACAGAAAATGCACTTTATTTGAGTGTCAATGTATTTAGCACGAAAGTACTAATTAGGGACACTATTTTTACGTGGTCTTCCGAGCCACGCGAAGGTCTAGGCTTTTGCAGGGCAAAGGAAGTACCTTCACTTCTCAGTTAGCGCCGGGAATCGAACCCGCGACCTCCCGCTCTGCAGTCAAGCGCTCTACCGACTGAGCTAACCCTGCCACGGTAAAAGGTTTCCTCAGAAAAAAAAAACTGAGGTAAAAAACAAAAAGGCTAATAATAATAAGACACAAACCTCAGCAAGGTGCCATGACTTTTCATTGTAAACATAAAGGGCTTGACGATAACATCTCAAAGAATGCTTCCTCTGTTGGATAACAAACAATAATTAGACTGTAGTAAGAGCAAAAAGTTCACGATAATAACCCCAAATGGTAGCACCCTTTTCTTTATGTACCTGGGCTGATTTGCTGTACCGATGACCTGCTAAAATCATGTTGAAAGCATACTTGCGGATCATAGGAGGATTGGTGTGAAGAAAACAGTGGGCAGCTTGCTCCAAAAGAAGGGCACACAGAAGATCAGAATCCTGAAAAAATAGATATTTTAAGGTTTAGGTTGAGGTTTGTGGCCGTAAGTTATTTTAACCATTGTTGCATGACTGTGACGTGAAACTTCCTAATTTCAAGCGCCCGCTTTATGGAGTAGGTAAACACAATGTTCACCAAAGTTTTCTTTTTCTTTTTTAAACTTAGATACAGTCCTCTTGGATTCAAGCCCAGACAATTTGACAAATTAAATGAAATTGAATAAGATCAATGAAGTTTGAAACAGTGCAAATTCACTCTTTATGTCATACTTTTGGTTTGGTGTCATGCAGAGATTTTGCTACCATGACAATGTGACGTAACAACTTCTCCTCTCCATTACCCCAGATCTTTCATCTTCCCTGCCCCTTCCATGATGTCTCACAAAAAACCATAAATGATGTTAAGATTAATGGATGGGCAGAGCTCGAGTCTTGTCAGCTGTAAATCAATAATCTACCTCAGCAGTCATTCTCATGAACTGCATCGCAGGGTCCAAAAAGATATTACGTGACTTGAGTGCTTCAGTGCTAAGGAGAGTTGCTCTTATAGCAAACTGGTGTTGTCTGAAAATGGAGAAAATTTACAAACACATTGAGAAAAGAGAGAAATGATACTGTTTGAAATAGGAATGATCAGCTTCAATTACACTAACACGTGGCGTCAACAATTCAAGATAATCTAACACATACGTATACAGGAGCAGTAATAATTTCATTACTGGTCTGCAAGTAGCATTTGCTAATCTGGATGGAGCAGTCACACAAAAACATTACAATGAGAATAATTAATATTACTAAAATTAGGAAAGGAGACACAATTACTTCAAGAAATTTTGGCAGTGTACTTTCTTCAATTGCTTCATGTCTCCCATCATTAAAAGTAAATATACAGTGGATAAACTGTTTAACTTACGTTCCGAGTTAACAAATCATAATAAAAATTGCACAGCTGCTCAAGGCATATCCGACCACCCCGAGTGCTATAATTGCTTCTTAAACAATTACCCTTAAAAATAATAATAATGCATGCATAATACCTGCAGGCATTGAGGTAGGTGGTGATGGATGTCTCCATGTAGTGGGTGGGGTAGTTGCGTTGATATGAGGCCATGAATGCTGAAATAGCTGCCATTTCCTACAAAAAATAATCAAAATTAAATGCAATTCAATCAAGGCTACTTGTAGCATAGTTAATTGAGTGGAATGGTTATGAAACCCGTCAGACTCCTTTGTTATATGTTTTTGTGGACCTGAAGGTGCACAACGTTCAAAAGAATTCCTATCATTTTGATTGTATTGACCAATAAAAACGTTGCATTAATTTATTCCGTAACAATTTGCCAACAGAAAACAAAGGATTGTGCACTTTCACGGTGCTTTGAACATAAACTGCTGCACTGTTGTTTTTATCATTGATGTTTGCCGCTTTTCATAACCAGTCTCCTCTAATAACTATGCTTGTAGTGAGAAGGACAAGACAAGAATTTCATTTTTTAAGATTAAAAATTTTAGCAGATCAAGGTAATCACCCATATGGGTCAAATCCAATTTTTACAATGCAGAAGAAAAACATTGATTCAGTCATCTCTCCCTCTTACTGGACACTTCTTTAAGATGCACACCTCGCTAAAATGAGGGTTTTAGAGTTGGTCCCGTAAATGATCGATTAAACGCTGTGTGGTGGTTATTTCATTTTCCCTGTTATAGGTGTGGCGCTTATACGAGAGAGGCGCTTATTCGAGAGCGGCACTCATTTCAACTACGAGTAAAACACTGAGGAGAATATAGAGAGTATAGAGAGGAGAAGTGTGACGTCAAGTTACCATGGTAGCCAAATTTTGGATGACAACAATAGGCCTAAGATTAAGCAACGACAACAGTAACAGTAACGAGAAGGGCAAAAAAAAACCCTGATAGATTTACATTAGCGAAACAACTTTTTTTGTACTTTTCTTAGCCATCGTTGCACGACTGCGAAATGAAACCTCCTAATTTTGCTTTGTTTGCTTTGATGTCATCCAAAACTTTGCTACCATGGCAACGTGATGTAACGACTTCTCCTCTCTATTAAGTGAGGTGCATACACATTGTACACTGCAAGGTGTGCACCATTTAATATAAAATTTGTCCACCTCGAACTGTTAATTTAAAAAACCTGGTTTCAAGAGTTTCCCTAGCTACATCAAAACTTTACAACTCACAAGTTTATAGAGGTATTATTTCTTAAGTGATATGGTTTTGATATCTCTTTATATAAAGTGCTGTAACAAAGGTCGGGTGTTAATTTTAAATACCCAAATGATTAGATACTCAAGAGCAACACTTATTCAAGTAGTGGCTCTTCATCGATCATTTACGGTACTCCTTTCAGTTGACTCTCTAGAAGACAAAATACATCTCTATAAGACAGCACATACGAGTAGTGCTGGTCTCAAAGGAGTCCACCTTAGAGAGAGTTAACTGTAATTTTATTTATCATTTTTATGTAATCTCTATTTAAGCTGAAAATTAATGGCAACATTGCCACTCTTACCAGTGCTCCAGCAAAATAAAACCAAGCATGCTCATTATTGAAGTCTCTCTTGGCCGTGTGGTAGCAGTTGTAAGCTAGCTCGTAATTTTGCACTAGAAAAGCTAGGTCACCCAGTTTGCGCTGATACAATTCTGGGGCATCACTGGTGTAGCTGAAATTAAAATAAAAAAGTTTGCTATTAACCTCACTCGTCCGAAGGGCAATTTTTGAAGTTATCTTGTAATTGTCCATACGAGATTGTAGTTGTCTGGGACGACCGGATGACTGAGAACATGGATCCCTGCTGCGGTCCTCTTGGAGTTTTTATTTTGTATAAGAAGGGCTTTGTTACATTGCTTTTACAAGATAAAACTTACATAATTCCTGGAACCAATCCAGAAGCAAGCCCAGCAGGTTTCCCTCCACTAAACCACTTCTTGGCTCCACTAAAATAACGATGAAGGCCTTTTCGGGAAACAATCTGAAAAAGATAGAAAATTTAATGACTGAACTGAACTTATAAATATGGAAACATTTATTTTTTAGGGGATATGTGAAAATTTTGGAAAATCCAAAGGACAGAATCTCTTGCAAGAGGCACCACACAATGCAGTTCTAACTTTTGAGTCTGGTGACAAAAATCTGCATTGAAAGCTTGAATTGAAACCTGTACAGCAGCACTTACACACGATGCTTAATGTTTTTTTTTTTTTTTGAAAATGACATTTGAAACTTTACAGTCAAACCAGCAAAACCGTGCAAACGAGAAATATTTCTGGAATGTTACTGTGTTGCAAAAAAAAATCCAATCAGAAATGAGAAACTAAACCACAAGCAAGAACATTTAAAATTAGTTTGTGGTTTTATGACTAGTTAGCATGTCCTGATCTTGGCTGTGATTGGTTGTAACACAATAAACATTTCTGAAATATTTCAAGTGTTCACGGTTTTGCTGTTTGACTATAAAATTTTGATTTTCATGAAGCAATCTTGTGAATAAAGAGCTTCACTAAAAACACCCCAACTTTACACAATGTGTACAGTGTACCTGCTCATTAAGGTGTCGCATTAGCCTCTCCATGTACTGCAATAATCCTCTGTAACCCAGCTCATGAACAAATATCTTAATCCTGTCGTGATCACTAAGACTCAAACACAGCCCATGATTTCTCTGAGCTGATGACCCCCTTGTACCCCCAGAGAAATGACGGCTGGAAAAATATCGATAATGGCTGGCAAGATGATGATGGTGTTTTGGGGTTTGCTTCCCTGAAAGATTCTTCTGGGGTATTTCATTCTCTAGTTTGTCCTCTGGTTCAGGGCTGTCATCAAATGACAGCGGACCTATCAGAATTGGACCAGAACTGCTGCGCACACGCCCAGGTCCTCCCTCTGTTTCTTCAACAGCAGCCTCAGGATCAAAGTTCTCATCAACAGCACAATTCTCAGGATCATCTTCCACTGTCTGGGTATCAGCACCTACTTCATCATCATCCCAGTCCTGGTTAAAGGAAAAGCAACAGGGAGGTTAAGCATCACACTTACGTCAAAAGGCAAATACGAATTTGTACCAAATGACCAAAATTCCCTTTACTTGTCATTTATTTTACTTTTCATTATTTCTACACATAAATTAGTGGTTTCATGTAATAATATTTTTTTTATCCATAAGAATTATTTTGAGCTGTTTTTGTCCACTCATTTTCTATTTTGAGAAATTCTCAGCTTGAATCTGACGTTTGCCATTTGTCATATAATTATGTGAAGCTTAAACTCTCTCATATGAAAGTATAAGGAAACGGCTTAGTGGTCAGATCAATGAACTTCTCATCCTGAGATCCCTAATTCAAGACCGCTACCTCTATATCCTGGGAAACAGCTCACTGGTTTGCCTACTGCCAATTGGGATTCTCAAAACTGTTATGTACTCTTCAGTTAAATAAAATCACAAAGGCCACATAGTACTGATGTGAAATGCAATACAAATGATGGGAAATGTATATGAAGACTGCAAGCATTTTATGGAGAAACAAAGTTTCACCTGAATGTGAAAGCTTAGCGTATATACACTGATGAGTTAAATACACAATGTGAAATAGACAATGCGAGGTATGGTTGGTTTAGTTTGTTTACTTGGACAAAACCACCAAGGAATGTATAAGTAGATATAGAAAGACATCACTAGCTAAACTCCAAAGAATACAGGAGCAAGTATTTCAGACAGTATTTGTTAACAGGACTGCTACATATGAAGAACTTTTAAACAAGGCTAACCTTCCTAGTCTTGCATACAAAAGCTTACAAGACATTTTAATTTTAATGTAAAAAGCTAAACATTCACTAGCTCCAAAACACATCTGTAACATTTTTTGTAAACAGGATAAACATTATAACTTGTGAAGTGATTTTCCTGTTCCACAATATGGCACAGTTAAATATGGCAAGCAGAGTATCAGATATTTAGGCCCCTATCTTTGGGGCAAAATTAGTGAAGACATACACAGTAAGACTAGTCTTAGAGCATTTATGGGAACTGCATGAAATCTTGATGTGTCAAGCCTGCTGGATGGTGCATGCAACTGCTGTACTTGTACATAGTGTTTACTTACAGTCAAACCAAGTCAAGCGTACCCCCCAAGATTCTATCAGTGAATTGATTATTTGAAAAATGAATCCGTTAGTCTTTCCCGTAACTGGTGTCAAATTCAAAGCGGCATTTCTGCATGCGTAATGAGCAGTGAATATTTTACGAGAACTTCTCTGTATTTGGTCAGATTGGAAATCTTTGAATGGATTAAGTTTGTTAGAAGACATTTACATCAATTTCAGGAAAATGAAGCTGGTACAAATTTCATAACTGCCTCGCGTGTGAATGCACGGCTCATTACACATACAAGAATGCAGAGGTCAATCTGAAATCTACAACTAGCAACGGATTCAACTTTTGAATAATAAATTCATTAATGGGTTCTTTGGGGGTACGCTTGACCTGGTTTGACTGTAATTCTTTTTTATTTTTTTTATCATAAGTATTTGTTATATTTAAACTGTATAACATCTTTACTTTGATTATATTTAGTGTCCCCCATTAGCTTTCCTAGCTAAATACCTTGGCACTTAAGTAAAGTTAATCTATCAGAATTCTATATATATAGACTATACTATACACACTTAAACAACATAGAACTACATGTAGTCTCTTACCAAAGTGTCCTCACTAGTTGGTATGATAAACTGACTCCATGGATCAGGCAGGTTAGGTCTGGGATTGGTACCTATGTGATGCACAGAATTGATCTGTAAAAGGTGACAAGCATTTGGACCATAGACAGACTTCATGCTTTGATAAACAGCTTCAGCCCTGCAAAGCATATCAAAGAATGTAAGACATACATGACATACAAAGTGAACATGGGTGATTCAGTGGTTGATGACTTCAGATCAGCCCTCAGTAATGCTCAAAAGCTGGATAGTGTTATACACGAGATAAATCACTATCTAGACAATAAGTATTACACAAACCAATTATTGCACTATCTGGATAGTGGATAGAGATTTATCCCAGCGATAGAGTTATCCATAGCTGCGTAGCAGGCACCGGTATTTTTTTAGGGAGAAAAGAGAAAATTCGAGGATGAGCGCATGCAAGGGGATGAAAAGAGAAGGAGCATCCTCTCCCCTTCACATATTCCCCTCGCGTGGCCTTTACGTTATCTACCTTTCAAACAACTAGGTTAGCGAGCTGAAATCTTAGCCAGGCCGCCATCATGTTCATGAATGCATGTTATTTTTCTAAACAGGGAACTTTGCTCCATACAGTCAAACTCCCACGAAACAGTGATTAAGAGAGAATCCAACTGGCCAATGTACACATGAAGGTCAGTGCATAAACCTCACAGTCTGAAAGGCATGATCTGAGTCACAATCTGAACACTAGGTAAATTTGTTTCTTTATACATAATGTTTTCCAATTTCAACATCTCAGTAATGTTTATAAAATATTGATCCAGTTCACTAGTTGGGGTTTTAAGTCACGCATACAATATATGTTTGTTTGAATTTTTTTAAACGATTATTTAATAAATAAAAAGCCACAAATCAGGTTGAACATTATTGCAGTATCCTTACTTTGACTCTTCTCCAACACTGACATCATGTAAAAGCAGGTAATACTTAAACACAGTGCTGGTGAACCATCTGAAATGGCCATGTTGTTCTGACTGCTGCTCTAACTGCTGTGAGCTCATGGTGGCAAATGCATTCATGGGGTCAGGATGGTGAGATGATACAACTATGAGACCTTCAATAATATCACAGCTATCAAGGAAAACTAAAGTGCTATGGACTGATCCAACAGGACTGTCACTACAATATTAAATTCAAGTTAGTAGGTATATGAAATTCATAGGTGGGAATTGATCATTTAGGAAATCAGTTCTATATTCCTTTTGTTTCCAATGAAAGTAACTACAGGGTTATGCTCATAGAAAAGGGGTGAAGTCCCCACTCCCTGGGTCCTTAGTGAGAGCCCTGTCAAAGCAAGGGATGTTATGGTTCAATTTCATCCTTTCAGGGATGTAACTAAGGAAAATATACGGGGAGTCCAAACTTTGGTTCAGAGAAAGAAGACTGTGGAACTTTTTTGTGGCAAATTACCGGGGGTTCTCCTTAAAAGGGCTAATAGGGATGTGCCGCTGGATGGGGTCGCATTTTCACGGCTGGAGTGACTATAATGGAGTCGCATTTTCGATAGAGTTACTAGGATGGGGTCGCAAATTTTCAGATTTTTGGGGTAAGTAGGAGTCTTACATGAGATATTAACCGCAAAAAAGGAATTCAAAATAGGAAGATTCTCGGTTAAAAAATCAGAAAGTTGTTGTTTATTAAATTTAACAATAAGCTCGCATTGACCGCATTGCATTCCACCACTTTAAACCACATTGATAAGGTAGATGTATAGACAGAAAGAGAAAGTTGGGATCGCAAAAATTACATTTTCCAAAAAGTGACTAAGATGGGGTCTATAGTTGGCCAAAAAATAGACTATAATGGGGTAGGGACTCTGAGAGACCAGCGGCACATTAACCCAAGTACTCCCACCCCCCCTTCCCAGGCAAATTACTTCTCACGTGTTCCTCAATCTGTGAACGCCACTCACCAATGGTGCAGGAAATACCACCTTGCGAGCTTAAGTAAACAGATCATAGGAGGGTACCCAAAAACAATTACATTTTTGAATATCCCTGGAATTTAGTTTAGCGGTGTAATGCAATGCGTGTTTCATTAAAAAAATCAGCCAGTTAAAAAGTGATAGACAATCCTGTCAATGTAAGAATTTCAGTCTCAAACAAGTGTCAGGTCTGTTAGGGAGGGTTCATACCCCCTGGACCCTCGCAGGCTTTTTTTATTAGTCAAGCTGGCTTGTTCACTCAACTGCATCTATAAAATTTCCCCATGTCTTTCTTTCCCTTTGTCTTTTACAGTTGGTGAAATTAGCCAGTAGCAGGCTCTTTTAAAAAATAATATAGCAACATCCCTGTACTTTGTTTTAACCTATTTTCATTACAACAGTAACTAGTTTTTTTAACAAATTACAATACTCAGACACAAATGAAAATAAAATTTGCCTGAAGGATACAAGCTAAAAAGTGTCTGATAAATTCATGATCTGATGGCTTCACTAGCTGAAAAAAGCAATCTCGAAATGCTTCAAACCAAGGTGCAGAGGCTGTAAAGAAATAAACAGACCAGAAACAAGTAAGTACACAGTTATAACCTACTGAAAAACAATTTTTAGGGGGGGAAACATTTCTGAAACAAAACTAGTATATGAATTTTCAGCTGAAACATGCTGGAAGTGATCACAGCCACTTGTTGCTTACCCACTAATCCATCACCAATAACACTAACTGAGCTTACAATAATCAACTGCATGTATTATTATTACATGCAGTCCAACCTCTGTTAACATAAACCTTCACAAACAAACACCACACCGTGGTCCAAGGAGAAAATGTGGAAGGTAAAATTCAAGGGGGCTGTGTAACTTTTAAACCCAAAAACTCAAACTTTTGCCTTCTGCACACCCACCCAAAATTTGAACAATGTAATTGGGAACAAAAGAGAGCATAGTTCATGACCTATAAACAATGTTTCAAGCAGTTTGGGTTGATTAGAAAATGGCTTGACTAGCGTCAAACAGTGTTTTTCAGCAAAATTTCCAGAGGCATGGGTTAATTCAACTACCAAAAAGGCCTTACAGTGGAACCCCGTTAATACGACCACCGTTGGGCTATAAAATCCTGGTCGTAATAACAAGGTGGTCGCATTAACGGGGTCTTCAAAATAATAAAATGAGTCAATGTTTTTTACTTTTGGTTTGAAAGAATATGGCCGTAATAACAAGGTGGTCTTATAAACGGGGTGGTCGTAAGGCGGGGTTCCACTGTATAATGTTTATCTCTGAGTAAAAATAAATAAAATAGTGACAAATACATGGCATAATTTTTTATCTCACATATATATATCAACATTTACCAGAACACTTCCCACTTCCCACTACCTTAATGTCAGCCCAGTTGTCCTTCATGTTCTTACCTTTCATCTGTGCTTCAGGAGTTAAAGTGCTAGGATCAGTATTTAGTGGCTGAGTTCGTGACACAACTTCACTCAAAAGTTTATTCACAACATGCTGAGGTGGATGTGTTGCTGACATTTCAACCAGCCTGATGCGCCAGTTTCTCACAGCATGGATTACACCAGAGGGATCGCGGGCATGAGCTACAATTCAAGCAATACAAGGTGCAATGCATAAATGGTTGTGTAAACAAATACTAATAATACTGTGTGGCACTATTACTTTTTTGCATAAGATTATAATGCCTTCATGTACATTGTACATCAAAGACATAAATATTTACTTCATAAATAATATTCAGTTAATGTATAATTATGTACATATGGCTGCCACATTTTTCTTGTTTGGATTTTCCTAATGTAGTTCTTCATTCAAGATTGAATCAAGGTGAGATGAAGAACTTTGGGCAAGCCGTTGCTAAGGTTTACTAGCGTAGGGCCAGTTTCTCGAAAGCCCCGGTAACGTTTCGGGCCCCGAAATCAAATTTTCAAAGCAAAATATAAAGAATAAGAGCGCGGGTTCCGGCTAGCAAACTACTCCATTCTGCTTCATCAACTGATAGTTTTATCATGTTAGATGCAAAACTATTGAAACCTCTACCTTGCATGTAAACAACAACAGCTTTACAGGCCCATTAATTATTGGGACTTTCAAGAAATGGGCCCCTGGAACAGTCGTATACACTACCAACCCCACTTTTTGCCCAAATTTGGAACTCTATTCCTCATTCGATTAAAATACTTAAACATTCGTCCTTTCGTAAAAAAATAAAGGAATTATTACTAAATTTCTTGCAGTCAGAAGATGATTATATCAAAGTCTCCCGTCTTACTAAGTTATTTAATACTTTAGGTTAGCCTCTCTTCGTAATCGTTATGTACTTGCCTTGTTTTATGTTAGTTTAAATTCTATTTACTGTACAGTAGTGTCCTCACTGTTATTTAGTCCATCTATATATAAATCTTGTTTTGTAACATGTCTTCAGCTCCCCCCGCCTCGATTAGTTTATAAGCTATTTGCGGGTGGGAAAGTAATGTAATTAGTTATTTTCCAATTTTCAATAAAATTTGTTGTTGATGTTGTTGCTTTTCAGTAACAGTATTTTACTTTAGCTTGAAAAATTTTACTTGTCCAAAGGACAACTCTCTAGCATTATGGGCTGCACCACTAGTCGCAGGCTATCTGACAGCAAGCTCTTAATGCCCTATTGGATGCGTGTCTCCATCTCAAAAAAAACTTTTGAAAAGCCATTTCTTTAAATAGGTGTCCATATTGGTGTTGGAAGGGGATGGATGTTCAAAAGAGAGATCCAAAATTCTACCTCAGCACAGCAGCCAGTTGTTCAAAAAGATAAATAGATAAATTTTTATTCATAGGAAAATGCAATTGATTTCCCGAATACTTATAAATTGGGTAATGATCTATCTGGTGGATAGCACTGTCCAAAGTTTGAACAATCGGGGGCCTGTAGCTTTCAAAACTACAATAATGGCTCAAGAAATGACGGTTCATGAAATAGTGAAAGATCGTTCATTTCAAGCTTGGTAAATGAATGGCAAAGATAACTACATGCTGATTATCACGCCTTACAAATGGATCATTATGTTTTAGTTTAATTTTAAGAAATAAAAATGAAATTCACCACAGTTGACTTAGGTACATAGTTTTGTAACTGCGACTGTGAATCAACTTTTTGATTGCTCAAAGAATAATAATTACAATACATTTTACAACAATGCCGCTTGAAGGGAAATCAACAATTAAAAATTTATTAAGTTCAACGCAAAATCGACGGTTAATTAATCGATAATTACTTACATTCAACGATTAAGTGAATGCATTGACGACGTTTTACAGCCTTTCAGTACTTGGTATTTATTTATCAAACAAAAACTCATTAACAATAGCACAAACGATGATCTAACAACTAACAAGGCTATCTTAATCTTATAATAATTACCTTCACTCGTAAGATGACAAAACGGTCGCACCATTTCCACGAAGCTTAAGTTGTTTTTCTGGCAAACTTTATCAGCATCCTCACTACACATCACTGCAACCATCGGGCAAAATGCGCTCTGTATAAACTCGAACGCTGTTTGCGTGCACTGTGCCATGGCCAGTTATTGGTGGCTTAATATCTTTTGAAATGTCAGGAGCAAAATCAAGAATTCACCATAATTTGAAGGAGATTTTCCGAGCGCAAAACGTTAAAAACGCAACTGGTCTTCCGTCCGCCATTTTGATATCTAGTACCACCACTGCGCACGTGCAAAAAAATCCAGACCAGACTGCCTTGCGAGACAAAAAGTTTATAGGTCTGCAGAGCGTGCATACAAACGGAAAGCTAACCGGTAAGTGAGAAATGGTCAAAAAATTTAACTGTCAGCTGAGAAATGAGGTGTGTGTGTTTTTTTAGTAGTACTCTGGCCCCGGATTCTCTTACATGAGGCGATAGGCCATGTGATATCTAGCCTCTGAACCGCACAAATGACGGCTCAAATCGGAGAGAAAAACAGAACTTGAAACTAAACCTCTCTGGTGTTACTTCTTTTTGTAGTAGAAATTTTCTTTAGAGGGGAGGGGGTTCACTGTTTTCTCTTCTTTTCGCGACTTCATAAAACTAATAACATGTTAGTTGAAAAGAGGAATATAATTATAGACAGCTGTTTCTCGTTTATTAAGAATCGTTTATTAAAAAAAACGTTCTTACAAATTGTGAAAGTTTCGCTTATTACAAACTAAGAAAACCTAAAGTTACTACAAATTGCCACAAGTAATGAAAATTAAGACAAATGTATTACAAACTGCGACAGATATTGCAAATTGCGATTAAGTATTATGAATTTACGATAGTTTTTACAAAGTTACGACGGTTCAGTGTTGCAAATTATGACCATGACCGAACAATAAGCTGAGATAGTTTGATAATTTGTTTTTCTGTTTGGTACAATGAAACGTTTTGTCTAGATTTGTTTGTGTTAATAGGAACGGCTGAAAGGCACATCATAATCTGGGAGCGATTTAAAATAGTGACTTTCGTGAGTTACCTTCGCCAAATTCCTCCTTTTTCTCTTTTATTGGGGCGTTTTCGTGAAGATTTCATTCCAATCTCGTTCCCAGAGCCTTTGTCCGCCGCGTTAGCTTATTACCCCCATCGGGGTCAGCTAGGTTCGCTTGTTTTAATGACAGGTTTTAAGAATCGTAAGAAAATATATCTGCAAACCGTTGATCATCTGCAGCTCGGTCCATAACAAACGTAAGTAAGTTGGAAAGACAAATTAAACAGTTCGCAGATGGAAAAAGTAAGCAAATTAGTTTGAAAGAAACTATCAATGTCATCAGCTTCTAGGCAGTAAACGGAACGAGCTTTCCTTCCAGTCAAAAGTGCAATAAAAATAATTAATCACATATTCATCAATGAAGTACGCTAAAAATAAAAACATATATCTGCTATTACCAGAAAATAGTGCGCTGAAAAGGACAGCCGATCCAACGAAAGATGTTTCTTTTGCCTTATTTTACAACAGCAAGAATCTAGAAAAAGGGAAGAAATTCATAGTAAAATTTTGTATCCACAACATCCTCGTTTACACCTGCTTAATTTGTCTTTCTCATTGTTGTTGTTTGTTTTCGGACAAAAGCTATCCAGCAAATCTCCGTCTCTAAAGAAATTGTGAGGGATTTTTTAATAATCATATCACTCGGGAGCATGTATATATACAGAGTTTCATTAGCAACTTTAATTTTAATTACGGCCGCATACTCATGGCGTATTTGCACGAAGCTTTCCATCTTGCAATTAAGTCAAACAAGATTTCCTCGAATTAATAAAGAGTTTCCTCTATTGTTTGTTTGAGTTTACAGAGATAGGTTCACATTTGACAGGTGCTTGTCAAGTGACTGGTGAAATTCATGAATATTTCTCGCCTGCCACACATCAATAACAGGAAGCTTTTTGTTTTTTTCGTATAATTTGCTATAAAGAGTTCGACACACTACTCTTCTGACATCCATCCTCACCAACCTCCAATTCTAAGACAACTCAGTCCGATTTTCCTCCTTTAATACCTTATCTTCAGTGAAGTCAAAGCAAAAAAGGCCTGTAGTTTATTCTCTCAGTGATAAAATGGTAAGTTTATACTGAAATAACGTTGATCTTCATAATTTTATTGCAATTCTGTGTTAGCGTTTTAATCAAACTGGTTGCATTGAAGATTTAAAGATTTTTTCGGCTCTGGGTCTTTAACTGTTTGACCTATAAGGAGGCTAGAGATGTTTTTCATCTTTGAGGAAACTAAAACAAGCGAAAATTGTTTCTTTCTCTTGAGTAACCCTAAAAGATATGTGATACATCAAAAATATATGGCTCAGACAAACGAAAAATGGAAATGAATTATCTCAATACTCATGTAAATTCATATTTACCGCGACAGCTGTCCGGTCAAAAAAGAATTAATATGAAAGTACTTTTTGAACAAAAACATTCACTTAACTGGACTTGGCCCGAGTTTTAGCCCTGAAAAAATTTGAAATAAGCTAAGAGCTTAAAAATTAAGAACGGAGCATAACTATTAAACGCCCTGCCTCCTCCCGCTTAAAAAAAATGCGAGACGTGCTTTGCCTTATTAAAAGGTTTTCGTAAGTTCAGAATAAAGGTGTCGTGAGCGATTCTCAGTTGTTAGTCGATTTCAACAACATATGTGAGGAAATTGTCATTGAAAACCTTTTAATGCAGAAATGAATGATGTACGAGAATTGGACTATGATGACTTAAACTTGACAAAACAGGATAGCGAGACAAATCAATGCCCAAGGATAAAATTTTTTGACTGGTGATGGACATAAACAGAAAATAGAGTATGGGAGGCTTCTACAAAATCGAATGCAAATTAAAAAGAGTGATATATATAACGTATTCACACTAACAGAAGCTGTTATGAATAGTTAAGCCCAGATTTGCCACATACGTCTCAATACGTCGCTAGTGAGTTATATTTCTTGCAATAACTATTGAAAGGATTACATCTGTAACAAAATATTTGTCTTCGAACATTCTTGAAAATACCTTATACGAATTTTTAGCTTTCAAGTGATTTGATTTTTTAAAAAAAACATTTCAATCCTGCAGAGAAGCGATTCGACCACAACAGAAAGAGGGCTTTATGTTTTCAAACAAAGTAACTCAATCACTCCGAGAGTATTAAAGATACTGTGTTCTTCCTGTCTATAAGTTTTATAATGATATCGAAGTTTTGATGTTACAAACTGTTCTCTGCGCCCATTACTGCCGTTGCACTGTAAACAAGAAATATAAATCACCAAGCTAAGTTTGTGGTTGATTGTAAAGGCATAAATAATTAAATACTTTTTTTATTCCCTCCAGAATTTCGCACTTGCCGCGTCGGCAACACCTGGCAATTTATGACAGTAATAAATTTGTCAAAAGGAAATTAATATAATACTGACTGCTTTCAAAGTTTTCCAGATTTTTATCTTTTAAAGTGAAAGAAGGAAACAAAACTGAAACCATGGTTCTAAAGCGTATGGCGTAGTAAATTCTTAAATTTGTTCACTTGAGAACATATGTTCGCATTTGTTTCTATAAAACATGCTAATTTTCTCGTTTATATAAATGTTTAATTTTTGGCTCTCAAAAAAAAAACAATTAAAATCGCTTTAAAGATATTTCTCAATCATTCGCTGGCCAGCAGCTTTAAATTTCTGCCCTTGGCTGATTCGACTTGAGAAAGCTTGGGTATGTTAGTTTACCAGATGTGTGACAATTTTTCTGTAGAGAATATAATATTTAAGTATTAAAACGGATTTTCTACTGACTCCAGACTTCGCCAGGCTTCATATTAAAGCCAAATCAAACCTTCAACTGACAGGATTTCATTTTGTGTCTGCGTAAACAATGAGTTCGGTTAATGCGTGGTTTACGGAGTTGATCTCAAGCTCGGAGATCGCCTAGAGGTTTTTAGGCATTTTCGTGCAGCTTAGGCAAGAGACACGAGTTACAATTTGCACAACATGATGACATAAAATTAAAATTCATACTGTAATAAAGCTTTCTTATACAAAAAACTGTTTACAATAGAGCTTGATTTCAATGGTAGAAAAGAAATAAGTTTTTAATGCGTGCAATTGCAAGAATTGATTAGAACTAATTGTCTCTTGAAAACCTGCAAACATTTTCTTGCGTACTAGTATACCGAGCGGATCTCACACTGATTGCAATAATAACAATACTTTAATTCCAACTTTGATACTGAGTACTTCTAGCAAAGACAACTAACAAAAATATGATACATTTGAAAAGGGACGGTGAGGTTCACCCTAGTAAAGGTACGGAAAAACGGGCAACAAAAAACATGCAACTTGTTTTGCAACATTGCTGCAACGGAGTTGAAAATCGTTGTTGCGCGTTTTACCACCCATGTTCAAACCTGTCAACAACCCTGATTTGGTGCAAGCCAGGTTTGAGGTGGGTGGTAAAACGCGCAACATCGCTATTCAACTCGTTTTGCAGCGATGTTGCAAAACAAGGTGCATGATTTTTGTTGCCAGTTTTTCCGTACTTTGAGATAGATCCCCTTAATTCTTTTTAACAATAAACTCTGTTTTGATACAGATACAAAATGATGTAAAAATTATTATACAGGGTAAAATATAGGGCTGAAATATTAATTGCATGGGGCCGGTAATCACACGATTCGGGACTTTCATTCAGAAATTCATTCCATCTCCATATATTTTTCTGTATTTGTTTACATGATACCAAAGCGAAATTTCGTTCCCGTACAAGTCAATCCGGAATTAGTTCATTGTTCTGGTATGAAGTTTCATTCTGGTATTATGAAAAATGAAAAGGAACTTCGCTCCGGATAGAAAATCGCAAATGGTGATTAAGGTGAAGGCAAGCGCGAGTCGCGCATACGCATTTGATCTGGCGCGAAGACCCCGTTTTGGGGCTGAGCGAGTCGATCACGTGAACTTCATTCTGGAAGTAAACTTATTCCAAAATGAAATTCATTCCGTTATCAGATAAACAGCCCCCTCAATTGTTCCTAATTTTGTTTCTGCAACTAAAAGAAAATCCATGAACGGGGTTCATCCTCATTTTCAAACTATCTATACGAAAGTCCATAAAGTATGTAAAATCAGTTTCAAATAGAATTCGGGATTGGTAAATTGTTCCAATTGCTGGTTTTCAGTGTCACGCCATTCAAAATAGATCAAAATAAAAATCAAAACCGTTCAATAGATAAAGATCCTCGCCAAATTTCAGGTCAGAGGAATATTTCGTATACGAGATATTCGAAGAAACGTTTTACCCAAATTTATTGAGATTTGCATGGAGACGCCATGCTGGTGCCCATCCGGATGAGCACCAACATGGCGGACGGAAACCAATAGAAACATCTGTTACCGAGTTTTGCTACAAAAGCGTGAATTTATTTGTCGAAGAATTCATAAACATTGAAGTAATACTTTTTCTAATACAAGAACTGTTTAGATAGGAAAATTCCTTGAAATAAGTCATTTTTAACCTACATGGCAGCTTTCTTGGCCGTCATGTAAATGCCGCGTCACGCAAAAGCTTAGAAATTCAAGCGTACTCTATCACAAAACCAAGAACCCTTTTCAAGAGAAAATTAGTATGAAAATTAGTTTTCAGCTGCTCTAATACACAGTGAAAGTAAAATCTCGGTAGGATCGATAGTTTCGTAGTTTTAATTTAGTGACGTCTCGTGAAAAACAGCAATAAATCTACCGTTCCAATTCAAGAGAACAAAAAAGTTTGTTCTTTTGACCAATTTTGTTTTCATCCTTGTAAACGCTGTTGCAAAAAAGAAAACCGATCTTTAAATGTCCCCCAAAAAACAGAAATTACAACTTCAACTCACGTTATAATTTATGGTTTCATTACCAGGCTCAACGCGGAAAATTAACGGCCGAAAAGCGCAAAGGTAAGTCACACATGAAACCATGAACATACGAATCAATACATTTTTCTTTCCGTGTAAAACGTCACAGATGATCAACCAGGACCAAGCTCTTGACAGGAAATCTTCCTAGTCTCGGGCTTTGTAAAAATGCAGGTCTATTAGTCAGCGGTTTTTATTGGAGTGGTTGCCACTGTATATATGTCCCAGGAGCCATCCCTCGAAGCCCTTCCGTCATGTTAGTTCTTTCGACAAGAGAATTTTCTCCACTTTGTCTCTCTTTACCCTGAGTATAAATGGGTGGGTGTGTATATTGACATAGTGCTGAAAATAACCGACAATAAAGTTACTAGCAACAAAAATCTCGGCGTAGAAGACTGGATTTATACCATAGAAGAAATTTATTGACCTCCATCTGACCCAGAAATGAACTTCAGGAGTAGAATCACCTGCGAGAGGAGCCAGCTCTTCATTTGGGGGGAATCGTGAGAAGACGCTTTCGCTCTCGCGTTCTCTTCGCGGCTCGCTTTTCATAATTGGAGAGCTAGTTCGCAGGCTAGACCTAAAACTCTTTAAACTTTCTTTGCTCTTCTAATTCTAGAAATAGCAGAAGCTTTTAAATTGTTCGACAAAAACGGCGATGGTCAAATTTCGGTAGAGGAACTCGGTGAAGCAATGAAACAAGCCGGGCAAGAAGTTTGCGAAGAAGACCTACAAGAAATGATAAAGGCTGTGGATCGTAACGGTAAGGTATTCTCCTAAACAGGCGTTCTCTTCTACTTGCCTTAAATAGCCTGCTTTTTCTCTGCACAACGTGAAACCTGTATTAAGCGGACACTGTGTAAGCAGACACCCTGCATTAAGCGGACAGTGGTCAGAGTCCCCAAATATATTTCCCTTAGGTACTGCCCAAATAAAGCCTTTCGGCCCATAAGCTGAATCCAAGGCAGTCTTGGATTCTGGATTCTACGCTACGGATTCCGGATCTCAAGTAAAGGATTATCAGAGGTTGGATTTTGGATTCCAGTCGGTAGTGGGATCCAGATACCTTGAATTGTATCATTCAGGAGTCCGGATTCCAAAGCCCAGTATCTCGGATTCCAGGAGAAAAATTTCCCTGATTCCAGAATCTAGACTCCCCTACTTAGGGCGAAACCTTTATTAAGCGTACGCTTTAAACGGACCCCAGGGGTTATGGGCTCCTGTGGACCCTTTATTTTCATTAGATTTGACCATCCAACATGTCAGGCACTCGAAATTAAAATATTTCCACCCAGAAATTTTCCGCTTTTACGATGCAAAACTTACTTAACAAAAGACTTATTTATTTGCGTTAACATAAACAATGTCGAGTTCTTAAAGAGAAAAGAAACCAGAAATACATACACGTGCATGAATTGTGTAAGGCCTTATATTACAGCAAGTCTACATTTTTTGGTCAGTTTATCTTTCAAATAATTACAAGAAAATCATTCACCTTGCGATGCGGACTCGCAGCCTTCATTACCCCGGCCCGTTGATCAGTTTTACAATAATGTTTACTCATTTTGTATAGATCTTGATGAAAATTTGAGGTTCCTGATATACGATTTAGAGTACATTGATTAATTGGTCCACTGAAACAAAGAAATTAGTGCAAACGTATCTTCTTTGTATCAGGCATGCACTGGTGGTTTTTACACCACTGCCAGTGCGGGGCATTGTGGAGTAAAAGATTACTCGGCCAGGCCGCCCATCTGACTCACCCGCAATGACTTTGTTTGCACGCAGGAAACGGCAAAGTAGAATATTCCGAGTTCGAGGAGATGATGGCATGCCACATGGGCGATGAACCAATGACTGGAGACGATCTAAAGTACTATTTTAAGAAATTTGACACCAACGGGGATGGTTACATCACTGGAGATGAATTGAAGACCGTAATGAAGACCTTTGGAGGCAAGACCTACACTACAAAAGAAATTGATGATATGATAAAAGAAGCAGACATGGATGACGATGGGAAAGTCAGTTATGAAGGTGTGTTCTAGCTTTTAGGGATTTGATTAAGCTGCCAGAGGTTTTTTTTATCCAGGGTAGTAGTGCCACGATCGAGAATTTCCTGGGTCAGTTTTTGTTCAATATACGCCAAAAATATGATGGGTGATGCAAACATTTGAGAGCTTTTTTGGTCCAGTAATGATGACATTTCAGTTGTCAGACAAGGCTATTATTTTGGATTGATTTTTCAGTAATACAGAGTGACATTTTTGTTGGATTTCTACTCAGTTGTATTCAATGTTCAATAATGATATCCCTCCGGAAAAACTTACCCGAATAAGCCACTACGTACACTGAAAATTAAAAAGATCCTTTTCAACCCCGAAGTGCCAATTCAGCTCTTCAGGCCACAGCCTGATTCAGCTCCTCCTGGAGCCCTTTGAGAACAATTTAAGCCAAAACAGCCCCGGCCATCAAAGGGCGATTCCAGCCTACACTGGGACCCATTTCAGCCCTTAGGTCTAAATCAGCCCTAGGTAACTGGAACTGTACTGGCCCTGCGGCCCAATTTTTAAAGCTAAAACAGATCTTTCTTATTTACAATGTATAAAATGAGAGTGGAGTTTGCAATCACGACTCGATTCATGGAAACCATGATTTAAGAATTGAAGTCGGTAGACACTGTGTCCCAAATATTAATTCCCGAAAACGCTGGAATATGTCAACACTGTTCATCTAAAATGATACTGAGAATGAACTGCACTTCATCTTTAATTGTAGTCTCCACAGCCACACAAGAGAAAACTTTTATGATGATTTTACTTTTAAATATCCGAACTTTACTAATCTATGCTATAGATAAAACAAGTCTCTTTTCAAGATGTAGACCCTTTCATTTGTAAAAAAAACTAGGTTATTTCAGTTTTAAAGGATTCCAGAGAAGAAAAATTAAGACTTCGTAAATTATTGTTCCTGATGATCAGGTTCCCTTTATCAATATGATCACTTTGTTACCACAATAATACTACCCTCTTTTGCAGAGTTTGTGAAGATGATTCAGATCAAGTAGTACTGAAATTTTAAGCGGCCTCCACGACCTGTGGTGTGTCCCACCAGCCATTTGAATTCTTTTGGTGACTTTACTCAGGACAATGTTGACTGCTTGCTTCTTCCATCAGCTGATTGAGTGTTATGCCAGGACCGACAAATTCGACAAACAAAAAAACCAATATTAAAGTAGCTAATTTTACAATTATAAATGAGCGAAAAATATACGGATATTGAAGTACTGCAGTTGGAGTGAAGAACTGACTGAAAAGTTTCTATTCTGAAAAAAGGTCTACTATTAATTTGCAGTGTAATTTTTTTTGTTATTTAAGAAATCTACAATAAACTGTGCAAATTTCTGATTGCCTTTTATATTTACGGGTTTGAAGTGAATGGAATGGGTAGGCCCTTTACAGCTAAACAGTCACTTGGTACAACGCGGTACAAACGTCTATGAGTTGAACTGAGAAAATTCTCAAATGCCAATTTATGCAAATTATCCGATTCTTCCTTGAATATCCATGGCGTTGTCAAAATGTGATATCTTTTTTCATTTTCTTTCTTGTATTTTTATATATACATATTTTTTCGTTTCTTTCTTCATTCAATAGCCTTCAGTTGATTCATACGAGCACTGCCGGTTTATGCATGGTTCAATTTTACTTGTTGCCTTCCCCCCCGGGCAACCCCCGGGACAAGTCCAGCCCTTCTGGCCCGGGGGTGGGGGGGGCTGTCCCGGGGGTAGGGGGCTGGGGCAAATAAAAAATTATCTTCTCTTTGATTTTGCGCAGTATGTGTCATTTCTCGTGCTGTTTACACGATGGCTACGGACCTCAAGACTACGTATTTTTAAGGAAAAACGCAGGAATTTTTCGGAGAGTGGTTGGAGAGGAATAACCTATCAAAATTAAAGCCCGGGGGGTGGACTCCCATATGAAACAGACGGTGATGCTCGTCGGAAATTTTGAATTTAACCCTAAAGGAGACCAATCTGGGCGTGGCTTGAGCAAATTTTGACCCCTAAAAGAGACCACTTAAAAACACACAAAGACGACATGCAATGAGTTTTAATGATATAAAGATATAACAAACAAAGTTAAAAAGAAAATTGAGTTCTGTTTCTCTTCGCGTAATTCTGTGTTTCTTCGCGGAACCCTAAACGAGACCTTGGCGGCTTTAAATAATGGCGCTTTGCCCGGAACACCCTAAGCGAGACCAAAATCCAAAATTTACACCCCTAAGCGAGACGACGAGCATCCCCGTCTGTTTCATATGGAATTCCCCCCCCCCCCGGGAATTAAAGTATGTATATATAACGGCATGTTTTAAAATTTGAAACTAATGTGCTTATAATGCGTACTCGAATGGATTTTATTTTCGGGAAAAGAAGGATATAGAAATATTTCTTCAGCCTAGCTTTAAATAATGATAAAGAAAACTTATATGAAAACAAATACAAGGCTTTTGATACGAGAAACAGAGATTCGGTCCATTGTTCTGAATTGTTTTATCTAGGGGGAGCTTTTTTAAGAGTTTTTCTTTTCGTTTTCAAATTTATTGTTCATTTAGCTACATTATGACATCCATTATCCTTCTCTCAATAAACTCAGGAAAACGTTTCTAAAAGTTGTGAAAACGTCTCACTTTACTTTTGTACGGATCAAAAAAAATGGTACCAAAACACGTATATGAGGTCGATCAGGAGCTCGGGGGTGGGGACTTGTCTGTTTTAGTCTGCGTGCCCGGGGGTGGGGAATAGACCTCCAAGAAAGAAAAACTAAATAGCAAATCCCCAGGGGTGTGTCCGGGCAGGGCATGGTTACAAGTAAAATTGAACCATGTAATAGGAAATCGGTGGATAATTTTTTTCAGAATCGTCAGGAGAGTGAGAGGGCTACTTTTAAATTTATTTTCACGATTCCACGAACTGACCGATCTGGTTATCGGCCCTGTCCAAGTATGGATATGATAGTTTTGTAACATTTTTATTTTGCACGAATCTCCCCGGCGGCCTTCTGTACGTCCACTCGAAACCAGTGAATCCGTTCATTCATCCGCGGCCTATTTGTGTGAAAAAAATATATATGCGAATATCAGAGTTCGTGCTGGGGTTTAAGGCCCTGTCCACACGAATCCGTTTTGATTTGAAAACGCAACTTTTTCTTTATGGATACGGCTTCCGTCCACACGAATCCGATGAAAACCATCAATGAAAACGGAACTTTTCGAAAACGCTCACCTGAGTGGAACTTTATGAAAACACTGTTTTAGTGTGTACGTGTGGACAGAGCAAAACGGAACTTTTCGAAAACGCTGAAGACACACTATCAGTTCCAAAAGATGGTGGACGGGCGCTTCACTTTCTTGTCTTTTATCCTTGGGCTTATTTCTAACCTCTAATTGCTTGTTTTCAAGCAAATTTAGCTTTGTAAATTCTTCAAGCTGATTATTGCAGAAGGTTACAGACCATTATCAGGTTTCTTTCGCTACCGGTGTCAAGAGGCGGAAGGTTGGATCTCCCTTTAGTGAGGGTCTCAATGGGGTGGTATCTTTTACGGTTATCGGCTAAAATTTTGGCTCTTTTACGGCTATCGGTTATTTTTTTCAGTTACGGTTAACGGAAGTTAAAAATTAACTTCTTTTGTTTCAAAAAGTTAAATATTAATTAACCCGTACTTTTTTTGTATCTAAATCCAAATAAAGGTCTTCGAATCATCTCGGGATGAAATAAGCTATTCTTTTGAAAATTTTTAACATTTGATAGATCACACTTTCTATAAAGTATTGCACTTCTAATATTATTTTACATATAGAAATGTCAATAGTCAATTTGAAAATAATCTTTGTGAAAAAGCAAAAGCAGACACGCAAACGCCCAACTCAAGGCCGGGGCGCGAAATTCATTATAACAGAAGTGGCCGTTTTCACACTAGAGAAGGATTATTCGTGTGAGACGGGTTATCCGTTTCATGATTCGCGTCAGATAGGCAATACGTCTTAATTTGAAAATGGAATAGTTTTAATTTTGAATGAACAATCCGCCTGATTTTTGAAGACGGATTATCCGTTCCAGATAGCCTGTGTACAGCCGCCCCCTCCCCCCAGAAAAAATCGGAGAAGGGGTGTCTGTGGGGAGGGCGCGACTGTACACAGGTTAGTCTCAGAAGGATGATCCATTTCTAGCTCTAGCGTGAAAACGGCCAATAACAAAATTCCCGTGTCCAGTGTTTTTAATGATAGCGAAGGACCGTACGGAACGACTGTCTGCCGTTGCCTTGTCCGTAGGCCGCATTATTTCGCGCGGCTAATGCGTTTCGGGTCACGTGGTCCGAGCGAGTTCTCCACCGAAATGCCTTGACCGAGATTGCGTGGGAAGACGCCGTACAGGTACTAGGCATGGCAATGTCTACCGTAGCGTCAGAGAAAAACAAGGAAATTTTGTTTATCGGCAACGTGTTTTACAAACAGTGACATCTCTGCGTGTTGTTTCACTAGTGTTTCGAGGGCACGACCTCCAGAAAATTGCAAATATTAATCCCCAGCAAGAAGCCACACTTTCGCTATAGAAAAAATTAGTTCCCCGAGAGAGCGCCGGAAAAGGAGCCTAAGTCTTGGTTAACATCTAAAAGGCGCTTCACCCAAAAAGAAAAAAGCAACCATAAGTGAGTTTAGTACCTTCCTTAAAAGTAGCAAATCTAGGTGACAATTTCTTTTACGGTTAACTCTTTTTTACCCTATTTACGTCTAACGGTTAAAATTTTTCAATTTTTACGGCTATCGACTAAATTTTTGGTCGTTTTACGCCTATCGGTTAACCCCATTGAGACCCTCTTTAGTTTGACTTTGTTTTTGCCCTGAATTTGACATTTTAAACTGTTCCTGCGACTTTGAAGAACGTCACAACTATATAAACCCACACCAAAGAAATTCAAAGGTGGTGCCAATTTATTATTTCGCGGGCTCCAATCTCGTACCTCGAGTCTTCGTCCCTTACTGCGCATGCTGGCTTGACGAGACGGTCAAGGGGAACGAAGACGCTGGCTACGAGGCTGTCGCGGGCTCATAATAGCGAACACGTATGCGTCAAGCATGCGCAGTCGGGTAAGTTTTCGTTTTCAAATCGATTTATCGTATAGGCGAATTTTTGTTTACACTTTTTGCCTCATTAACATATACTTCTGACTATGTGATGACGCTAAGAAAATATAAAAAAAGCTGAATATCGGAAAGGGCATAACAGTTTCAATTATCTCTGAAAAATTGAGCTCAATACACCGGACGGTTTCGGAGAAATGCTCCTCTCAAAACTCCAAACTGATTTTACAGAGAATCATGGCTCATTAACTTTTTTGCCACACAGCAATTTCGCAGTATTTTATGGCTGATATTTCCTTCAGTATTGCTTGCAAATTAAGAGTTAAAAATTGCACAAATTGCTCAACTTAATCAGCTCCCTCAACCTTTACATTTAGTTCATATTTACGGCCACGGGTTCTATGAGTTAAATCGTATGCTAATGAGGAAAAATGTAAACAATTGTCAGCAGAATTCGCTTGTACGTGTGGACGGGCGAAAACGATGCGAAAACGTTACGAGTGGAAGCGAATTTTTTTGAAAAAGGAGAAAAAAAAGGTTTTTCAAACGAATACGGATACGTGTGGACAGGGCCTAAGTCATCTTTGCTAGTCAAACTCAAGAATGCATGCATAATCCCTTATTGTAATGCGATAACGAATCAGAAAACTAGTTGAAATTAATGTTCATGCATATGAATGCTACACCAGTCTCTTGCCGGCAATAAGCCAAGCCTTGATTATATATTTCACGAGTGCCATTTACCCTCCATCGTCCTCTCTACAAACTCTGGTCGTTGTCAACCAAGAAGTAAAGCAACAATCCTCAAAAATATGGTGAGAAACTGGTGAACCTAGCAGTCTTTAACCCATACGTTATGTTAATCTTTTCAGTTTTCTTTCATTTAAAGCTGTAAGCTCCGTAAACTATATACGTAACTGAGGTAATTAATGAGAAACATGTCGCTTCAAGTTGATGCAAGAAAGCAAACTGAGTTATTTTATTTTTTCCAGCTGATTTAAGCAGCCCTTTGAACGAAGCTATCTGAAATGATAAACCGGGTATTTTCAGCCTTTTATTTACGGCTGCCATTAGGACAGTAGCGTCATAGAGATGTGGCCACCAAGCGCTTACAACGCCCTAAAAACAAAAATAAGAATGACTGAGTTTTTTACGACCGGATGATATGATACTCGTGAAGCAGGGTTATGGCTGCCAGGGCTTTAGAGCTTCGTTCTCGAAATACCTAGGAAGGTAGAAATAAGCCGTGCGCCTGAGGAAAAAAAATGATAATAACCTCGGCAGCCAGGTTAGGTTAAAGCTCTTACAAAGACGAGTTCTTAATAAATAAGATTCAATTCAGACGTATATTCATGTAGTGAAGGTTTTAAAAGACGGTTTCGCTGTCAGTTAACTGCCCTAAATGGGTCCTATAAAAGCTAAAATATCAAAAGCACTGCACCATATTGATACCCTCCTACACAATTTCCAGAAGAGTCTCCTCATTAAAATGATTTCAATACATGTATTTAATATGCTTGTATTTTTCAATGTATTAGCATATTTCCTCTCCTTATAGAGTCATCATGCATTGTATTTTTTTAAAAGGCTTTAATTTAGTTCCTACCTCACATATCTTGTAAACACTCTAAACATTAATATATACAGTAATGTTTTTTTGCGCAAAATTCAAATAGAACGCGATACGAAAAACTCTACTCAGATGTCTTCTTCTGTCTTCTTCTAATCTTTTATTTATTTGTTGTAACTATTTATAAATATTGATTTTTTTGGCAGAAAATGTGCTTATGAATTAAATGACCAATTTTTAGAACACAACGAAAGAGCCGAAAATCGTGTCCATATATTCCAGTCGTATAACACCATTTCTTTCTCGAATTGTGGTTATGAGTGAAATGTTTTTCCCTTGTTGCCAGTCAGTGATGCAGCGGAAAACAGAGAACGCCACAGCAATTATGCAAAACCCGTGAAGCGCGTTCTCTTTGTATTGGCAAGGGAGGATGAACTAAGTTATCCCCGTGCTCCATACGCCACAACAATGCCATCCTGTGCACCGCGATAAGAGAGAAGAAAGTGTAAGCCGGTACTACGAGACTGGTGGGAATGACCGAGCGGAGAAGGAACCGCTTCACATTCGCTCCAAAAAAGGTCGCTTGCTCAAGTCCAAAAGGGACTACTAGATATCTAACTCCATCCGAAGCACCATACATTAAAGGCTGGTACACACTGGGCGACAAGTTGCAGCAACATGTTGCGACGGCACGTCGCAGCGACAAATCGCTTCGTGTGTGCTGGAGAATTTTTGTGAAAATCTTTGTCTCTGCAACAGAATTTTGTCGCAGCAACACGTTGCAAAAAATCAAATCAGACAGAATTTGTGCGACCTGTACACATGGAGTGATCTGTCGCCGCGACGTGTTGCTGCAACTTGTCGCCTAGTGTGTACCGACCTTAAGACATAAAACTCGAAGCGAGGTTGGGGAGATGGAAAAGAGAAACGCGCGGGGGAAGATGGGAAGGGAAGAGAGGATCCTGCCTTTTCCCTCTTCCTATCGTCCCCCGCGCGCTTGCTATTTTTCGATCGTTGCTATTTTTCATTGGGATACCGTGCGGGAAGCTCTGCAGAGGAGAGAGGACATATATGAACACTCTCGCCTACGCACTAAAAAAACGACTAATCAGTTAAAGAAAAGCACAAAAAAATCAGTCCCGAAGTCAAAAAAACGTTCTTCAATTTCCTGTCAATGGACTGAATTAGAAAGGGTCTCGAAATGCTGAGAGTACACGCAAATTTTCACTTCTGCTTACTGGTGATGTACGCGATGAGCAAACTAAGCATATCCTCGCTTTAGGCTGTGTCTTCTTCTAATTTGATTTTTATAAGCACTACAGTGACTCTAAATAATCGTTGTTACATTTTTTTATTGTAGGCTAATAGACTGACTGAGGAACAAAAAGAAGGTAGTAATTTTGTAAAAAATATATATATAATCTTCCATTCTTTAATTAGAGTCTTAAATTTTTTTTTATGGAGACTTGTATACTGTGTGAGTACGAGGGCCATTCTTTTGACGTTAACTAGCTATATCATTTATATTTAAACAGAAATTTCAGCAGCTTTCAAGCTCTTTGATAAAAACGGCAATGGTTATATCTCAGTGGCGGAGCTCGGTGAGGCAATGAAGCAGGCTGGGCAAGATTTGTCTGAAGGAGAGATTAAAGACATGATTAAGGCAGTGGACCGCAGTGGTATGGCTCTTTCCTTTCATGGCGATACTATAAATTAGCTGGAAGAAGCAATGGAAGAAAGTAGCTTGCGAAAACAGCAGTCTCTCTGAGGGACGTTTGGCCAAGACGGACGTCTGCGTCTCAGTGACAGAAATTCCATACTGATGACGTAAAATCTGTCCAGAATCTGATTAGTAGCTCTTATTGGTCGGTGGAGTAGTTGTATTGTCTTAGCTATTGTTTACTATCGACAGACAAACCTGGACAATTAAAGGTCAATTGTAAACGCAATGAATCTACTTCAAAACAGTCAAACAGAACACAAAATTTAAACCATAATCAACCAGAAGAAACAAAAAATTGAACAAATTTACATATTTTGGAACCCCATGACTTCCGGATTTACGTAAACATTGATTTACGTCGTCAGTATGGAATCGAAGAGGCGCGAATGTCCCTTCCGCCGGACGTTCCCTAGCTGCAAGGAGCGAGGAGAGATGACAGTGAAGAAAGCCCACGCGCGAGGAAAATGTAGCGCGAGGTACATAGGCTACGTGTGCGCACTCAATACTAGCGAACCCAAAATCTCGCTGCGCACGCATTCTCTTGTTACCTTTTTGAGTGGTTTACTGTGCATTCACGATAGCTCTGACCATTTATCAACTGGTTGCTTCTCTAAAGCGAATGAAAATTTAGGTGCTATGATAAAAAAAACAAGTGGTAGACGTATTTGGATGAAATGAATCTCAGTCCTAAATATAACAGTATATATAATCAGTGGGTTTTTTTCGAGAACTTTAGTACGTATTACTGGTAGTCAAATTTTCAAATAAGGAAGTTGCATTGTAGAATTCGATGTGAAGAGCAAAAACGCTCCTGCACAAAATTGCTCCTTTTTAATTTCCCTGCTGTACTTAACTCGTGACTTAGGGTGTAATAAAAAATGTATTAAGCTTTACTGGCAGCAAGTTTAGTACCAAAGAAAACTTATAGAGGGCAATGGGGTTAACACATCATCACAGGACCTGCATTGATAGCAGTTTTTTCTTAAAACTGAAGCAGCAATCCTGTATAAATATGTGTGAATTACTATTGTTATTATTATCAGTTGCGTGCTGAAGTTTAGGACTTGCATGGGCCAATGATTCCTCATAAAACAAAGCACGGATTCCTCATAAAACAAAGCACGGCAACGCCTAGCTGGCTGATAAATCTGTCCCGTAGTTGGATGTCGTGCCCTTTCTCAGTTTGCGCGCTTATCATCGTCGTTTCTTTTCTCTTCCAGGGAATGGAATGGTAGAATACGCCGAGTTCGAAGACCTGATGGCCAGTCAAATGGAGGACCCATTGGGTGCGGATGATCTCAAGTATTACTTTAAAAAATTTGACCAAAGCGGGGATGGATTCATTACAGGAGACGAACTTGCTCTGGTGATGAAGACTTTTGGAGGGAAAACCTACTCCAAGGAGGAAATCGATGATGCAATTAAAACAGCAGATATAAATGCTGATGGCAAAGTCAGTTATGAAGGTACGTTATTGCTGATTATGCGTGAGTGATTTTAAGGGAATGGCACTTTTTTGTTATTTCCATTTATGGCATGTTTCGGATGAGCTGTGGCGAAACTCCGTAGGCTCAAAACGCATGCGATTACATGAACACTTTCTGAGCGAGGCCTGCCAGACAACTTCAATCTCCGCACGTATTTCAAATTATGCGCTTGTCACCTCACTCACTCTTGGAGGAAAAATATGAAATAAAGGATTCTCGCAGTTCGCAGCCTTTACAAGTTAAGTTCGTCTGGGGTTTTAAGCTATAAAGAAGCCGTATAACAATATTTTTGCTTCAAGGTACATGTATTTCAGCCAAATCTCTGTCACAGTTCTCGATACACTGTGCTATGCTTTATTCCCACGAAACTATCTTTGTGTCGATCTCTTCTCCCTTCTCTGCCTCCTTCCTAAATAGCTATACAGTTCTTTCCCTAGGGACAAAGCTAGGCGAACTGTCCGCAGGGGCACCCAACGTCAATTTTTGGAAAACTGTGCGCAAGACGATTTGAGATCTATAATTTTCGGAACATTTGTTGTAAAATTTCTTGCTTGCCCGCGGCCTCTCCTAGGATTTTCGAACATCTAAAAAATGGTATTTTTGTCCATTTTTAACGGATTTTTACCCTAAAACGGTCACCCAGAATTTTCGGGAGCTTTTTTTCTGACTGAAATTTTCGAAAAGGTAAGTTTTGATCCCTATAATTTTCGGATCACTAGACTTTCAGCTAGGAAATTAGAACAGATGAAAAATTTTTAGGGGATAAAAACATGCCTATATCTACCGTTTAAATACTAAAATACGTTTAACAATGCAATGTGTAAGTGGTTTTGAACTATATTCTCGTTGGGTGCCCCTGGACACCCAACCACCCACCCACCCCTTGTTGTCCCCAAGGACAAAGCGAACTGTCCTTAAAATGATGAGGTGTCCGTATTAAGAGGGTATCAGTAAGGCAGGTTTGACTGTATTTATAAAGATTTATTGTCTTTAGATTGGAAGCGGGGAGTAATGGTTGATAATGGTAGGAATTATTAGGATACTTAATGTGGACCTATGTGAGTATTTTTCATTCTTTTTCAGAGTTTGTAGCTATGATGAAATAAAACGAAGTGTCAAGTTTCTGCGGGTGAGGAATCAAAAGAAAGGAGGAATCGGCTGAGAACTAGCTTTAATCAATAACTAATACGTAGGAGTTTGATGAAATTGGGTCGCTTAAAAGAGTAGAGCACTGAGCTATTGACGAAGCACTTTTAAGGCAAATTACTAGTTTTACTCGGTATATACCAAGTTGTAGGGGCGGCTGTACACAAGCTACCCAAGTTGTTACAATAGTAAAAGTTACAGTAACTTTCTACACTGAAAGAGATGGTTTTTATAGAACAATACAATAAGGTATCTATATTTGTTATGACGTCGGATAAAAGTAAAAACTTCTACAAGCATGCAGAAAAGACATTTACTTAAGTAGCCAATTAGTGGGTAACATAATAAAGCTTCAACAGTTGGACCTTGTGTTGTCGTCTCAGTATGTGTCATAGGAATTGACCACTCCAGAAAATAGGCGCTTTGCAGCTAGTCATTCACCCATTACAAAAACGCCGTGCTGGAGAGCAAAAGTCGCACTGGGACAAGACAAACAAAGAAAATTTTCATTTAAAATTATCTCTGTCTTTTGTTTTTTTGTCTTGTCCCAGTGCGACTTTTGCTCTCCAGCCTGGCAGTTTTGTACCACGTGAATGGCTATTTGCAAAGGGCCTATACCAGAACATACCATAATGCTATTTGTTTGTCACCCCAAAATTTTGCAGAAACATTGTTTTTGGTTTCTCTTGGGGCCATTTTAACTCCCAAGGGAAACTGAAGACAATGCTTATGCAAAATTTTGGGGTGACAAACAAAGAGCATTATGGTATGTTATGGAATTTCTGGAGTGGTCAATTGACTCTATGTTATTTATGAATAATTATGAAACACGTGGTAATTGAATCGAAGTAGTGATGACATTCATTAAAAATTGTTAGTTGTGTGCTGATAACTGGTTTATCAAGGGGCTTAACAGACCAATTATGTTGTCTTCATTATCAAGGTTTTTTAATAGAGTGTTTTCACATGACGTCACGGCGGCCATATTGGTGTCCCAAAAAAATGAAACGGCGGCCATGTTGGTGTCCCAAACTAATCCTTTGGGAGTTGAACTCTTTTCTTACGCAAACACATTCTTTTGTTCCAATGAATTTGCACAGATGCTGGCCACGTGAGTGAAAACACTCTATACTAAAACCGTCTAGAGAAACACTTCATCCATATTTATTAGAACACCTTTCTAAAACGCACACATGGAATTGGTCTCATACACTTATCCCCCTGTTTACTATATCCTATCTTGAGGTCAACATTAAACGTACTGCTGTACGAACTTTATTCAACCCGAACACCTCTACGCTGAAAGCAGACAACGAAAAAAGCTCTGAAGTACTTCTTCGCTTAATTTACTCTTCACAGGTATATTTGGTCACTGTTTAGTCTCTTCCATATCCCCGAATTCTTCTTCAGTTTATTTCTGCAATGAGGACTTTCTTTCTAGAAGACAAGATATTTTTTAAACATTCACTGCCATTAAAGTCAACAAAGAAATGACCCAAATTTTATCACCAGATTGCAACGAGGCCAGAGACTTCGTTACAACAGATAACAGCTGAACTTCTTTTCCCCTACAGCTTTAGTGGGGCGGGCCCTTATCTCGTCTTTGTATTTAGTCCCTAGGTTTTTCACAGTATATACCATAATGGCTTCCGAGCTTGAACTCTTCAAAAGTGAGACATCTTGAATGACGAGAGCGACGTGACAAAAATTATCTATCTTTCCTAGAACGCTTTGTTTTTGAATCACTGTCACTATCCTTCGACGTCGATTTTCTATGTTTATGCTTATGTTTCTTTTTCCTTTTCTTTTCACGTTTTGATTTTTTGCTTTTTTGTCTCTTCCTTTTTTCTTCACCGTCACTTGTATCCTCGCTGCTTTCCTGTGAATCGCTCTCGCTTGTTGTCGATTCTTCAAGTAACGCCTTCAGCTGCTCTATCCTGCAAGAGTTAGAGAAAACCTTTAAGTATTAAGTTAGTAATTTTGCCAAATCATCATTCCCGCAACAGCCTGCGTGCAGACATTCCCTACATTTCACATATTTCCCCGTGAGGAAAAAGGTAAGAGATTTCGTGAATATGAGACAAACCACCTGTCCGAATGCGTTCATTTTCCGACCTAATAAGGTGGAATTCTGTGGGGAAAATTATTGGAAGTCACTGCAAAAGAACCCTTACAACCAAAGGCTCAAAGCCCCGAGCGTATCACTATGGTGACTGTGCGCATGGGTAAAATATGTATCTAAAGCTGATCTAAGCTAACCTTCTTAAATGCCTATCCAACCAAATTCTACAAAAGATCTGTTAACTATTGTTTTTAGAAATCCAGATTCAGATCTCTTCATTGGTTTCAAACCTTCAATTCAAATATTACAGACCTGCTTTGTCTTTCCGCTTTCTTTTTATCTTGAATAAACTCGTGCATGGGATCTTCATGGGCCTGAAAAGACAAGATTTGATGGCAGTGAAAGTTTGCCACTCAAATAGCTTAGCATGTGTTCCCACGTGGTTGGGTTTGAATGTCTCAGATTTGCAAAAAGAAAATGAAGAGAGGGGTGGTGCACAGCATTGGCACTCTACTCACATGACTAACAAACATTCCAGGGGCAGATCCAGGATTTTTTTTAGGAGGGGGTGGACTCGTCTCTTGCTCTATTTCAAGACCAATAAACCACATAGTTTGGTTTTTTTTGCAGAATACCAGTTGTATTAGAAAACCGCAGGTCATCTCAGGGGGGGTGCGCACCCCCTGCACCCTCCCCCTAGATCCGCCCCTGCATTCAAACAATGAAATGGGTCAAGGCAGCAGGTACTATGGCTGACAGGAGACAAAACAGGCATTGAATTAGTACTCTACTAAAAAAAAACTAGGTTTTACCAACTTGTTAAAAATGACTGAAACGAAGTAAAAGCTGACAAATGTAGAAGAACACACTTTCAGTTGAAATACCTGTATTCAGTATAGGGAAACCAAGGGAGGGAGGGGCAGTATGGATGGGCAAACTTGGGCGGTGGTGGGGGAGGGGGGAGAGTTAAAAGGAATGCCATTTGGAAACTAATTTGCAAAATATTGATTATCAAGTAGATGATTCCTAAGTTTTGAGATTTCAATCATCTTTGCTTGTTGTCAGTGATATGTTCATGATATTTGTCTATAAACATGCTTTATTTAGATTTAAAGCTCTGGATCAACAAAAATTAAACAAGCAGATCTAGAATCACCTTCAACACCATGATTACCCAAGGGCATTGACCTACCACTTTAAGAGCAGTTTTTTCTCCTTTTTTATAGTTTGCTTATTTGAATAGCCTGCGAAAACAGACGTTTCTCCACACTCATTGCTGCTGGGAGAAGGCTGAGGTAAAACCTCACTACTTGCTGCCATTTTTTTTTCTGGTGTAATCCTGGTATAATTATGCAAAATTATCTTGTCAACCAATCAGTGCTTCTGACCGGATTCCAGACAGAGTTTACATCATCAGTACGAAATTTTTGTCACTGAGTCACAAATGTCCCCCAGCGGCGATGAGCAGGGAGAAATGTCTGTTTTCGCAGGCTACCATTTAAACTACCAGTTCACTGACTACATGTATACCTGGCCACTTACCATCCTTAATTTTTCAATATTCCTATTCCCACTAATGAACAAGGGGCACTCCCTATCTCCTGTTCTGTGACCATAAGCTTTACAGCGCCAACCTACACGAAGCAAGCTAAGTTCAGTAAATACTGTTAATTAAACTTATGGGTTCAGGGCTTGAAATAGTTTTGCAGCTGGCGCCGGTCAAGCTGTTTCGGTCAAACCGGTTTTGCTCAGACACAACCCGTTTTTGACCAGGCAATTACAAGTACATATTAAGACATATCACTATAAAACTAATTTTTGGTCCATTAGAAGAGTAAAGGACCAGACAAAGCTTACTTTTTAATTCAAGGTCTGGGGGGTGTTCCTGACTTAATCTTAGCAACCAACTCTAACGGTCTATCTTAGAACATTGTCTGCCATATAAAGAGTCAGATAAAACGACCAGAGAACTGTAGAAACCTACTCTAAATTAATTTAATTTCTTGAGTCTGCGAATCAAATTCTTTGATATGAACTTTGTCAAAGAGTAGGGAAAACTAGGCTTATCTTACTAGGTTTATCTTACATTTCATCACTTTTACTTCCTTTCCAAGTGGCATCCATAGTCCTTTACTAGGAGCATGGGCAAGAAATTCTCGTGCATCCTTGTTTTCAGGTAAATCTGGAATGCAATCCTCTGGAAGCTCCTCTTCTTCCTAAAAAACAAAAATTACTTTGAAACGCTTCAACACAAAAATTCTTCTACTCCCCAATTGTCTCCAACTGTCCTGAACAAACTAAATATTTGTCAGCCATAGGAGAAGAGTCCTCATAAATAAGTCCAATAATCTACAGTCATAGAGAGAATTAGCAGCAAATTTTAAAAGAATATTATACCTATTGAGCAAATTTAATGAAATCCTTCTCTAGCGTAGAGCGAAAATTGATGGAATTTACCCAGTAAAGTTTACCATGTTAGTTAGTAGAGGGGACATGACACCTTTTCACATCAGGGCCTTTTCAGTTGTACTTTGACAATACTGTACTAACTACTCTCATACTTCTGAAACCCTTAACACTTGTCCAACTCATGAAATACTGCAATTTTCCACTGACCTTTACAATCCCAGGAGGAGGCTTTTCATAGCTGGAAAATTAAGACAGTACCACGTTAACTCTGTCAGCAACAAACAGTCAAAGGACCACGACAAACAGCTGATGTACCATCCTGATGTAGCCGGGTATTAAAGGAAAGTGAATTACCCATAACCTTACAATGTTTCATAGTGTTTGGCTATCTCGACATCGTCATTCTCACTGCGTTTTCTTTTCCTCCCCTCCTGTTTTTCTTTGTTTCTTTCTCTTTTCAGTTTTGTTCTACTCTTATCCGCCATATTAGTCATACACGACGCACAGACTCAAAGTGACGACCGCTGACCTGAAAAGTTGGCGTAAAAATAAATATCAGGTGCATTGTGGGATAACATTAAACAAGATGGCGGCATCCTTACGTCTTGTTTGTAGGCGATTTGTTATTCGAAACAACTTTCGTTCTGTAGCAGCCCTTCATAGTTCTGTTCGAAATTTCGCTACGCCAGATAAAGTAACACATACTGGGCAGGTAACTTCAGTTGTGTTAGTATTTTAGTGTAGAAAGATACAGAGAATTGTAATTTTCAAAATCTTTGATATTTGAAACTTCTGAACTTGTTAATACGTAGGTATGGGATGCAGGTGACTATAGAATGGCACGCTTCACTGACAGAACAAAGGAGGTATTGTTTTCAACTTAATGATACTTAATATTTTGACTCATTTAATTCGACTGCAAGGTTTCAATAATAATATAGGCTTCAACTTTTTAAAACATGGGAAAATCGGCGTCAGTGTGCCTTTACTGTAACCAATCATTTCGCCCGCAAGTCATTTCGCCCCAGTTACTTAAGGTGCTTTCCATTATAATGGACCGACCAGTCAGAGACCACTTGAACTAACCAAGGCAAAATGGAACGCGTCGGAACCAAAACTCCAACCGAATTAATTGTTGAGTAAGAGAAAAAAGAGAAAAATGTGGGAAAACATCGTCTACAATTTATTGGAGAAGCCAGTAATATGTTTGTCTTTAAAAACTGATGAAAACCAGAAGAAAAAACAAATCAACATGCTCTGCTGTACCTGAGCCTTGTGTGCAACTGTGCATAAGGAGAAAGTTTAGGTCTTGCGTCTGAAGGTTACACACACCGCACTCATAGACACCTACATCTGAACCATCCGCCATTTTGACTACTGTGTGTAGTGACAAGCTGGAGCAGGACTGGAAACGAAAATTTCTGAAAATGGAACAGTAATTTCTGGTCAGACTGGACCGACCGATCAAAGAGGACCACCTCTGGAGGTGGACAACTTTGACCGGAAAATTTCCACCAGGGCCGAACTATTCCATTTACATTTGGACCAAAATTTCCAGAAATTTTGACGTAATGGAAAGCACCCTTAGTCCCCTATTTTCGAGTTATTTAGCGTGCTTCAATGTAATATCCCTCATTCTAAAATAGAAGGCTAAGTAACCTGGGCAAAATGACCGTAAAGCGCCTTTACCAGTGGGTATGGTTAAAAATTTGAAAAGGAAGAGGATGCTTCTAATACTCAAAAATTTCATTTATTATAGTAAGTATTCTTCTCTTTTTCTCTGTTTGGGGAAAGGGTGAAAACATCGCGAGGAGAGGGAAGGGAAAGGGTGAGAGCCTGTAGCCAAACATTTGGGACCATCGTTCCACGGCACCTACTGTGCATCAGATCCTGATGCAAGCTCCTATTGGCGAGAACACTGACTGTTGACATGTTTGATTTACATCGCTTTTTCGGTCGGCACGTAGCACGCAATTTGATTTAAATAATTGCTTGTAAACAGATCTTCTGATCTTTAACATGGCGTCTTCTGGCACTTGACTTATGAGTTTTTTTAGCTGCAATGAATGTTCTTGCATCAGAGGGCAAATCACAATGACAAGATACAATAACCGCAGAGAATCAATATGCGTGTCACGACCCCTCAGTATGAAATAAGTGCCAAAAATCACATTTTCTCAGTTAAAACTAAACCCTCCAGGGCACAATCTACCCATCACTGAGAGAAAAAAGTCATTGGAAAAAGCAGCATTTTGGCACAAGGTAAAAGCTGTGTGTTGCCTACCAACCCCTTTTGCCACGCAAAATTGATTACATTCCAGTGTATCCAAGTGACTGATAATGATTTTGCTGACAGATGATCGGCAGGCTCTCACCCTTTCCTTCCCCTCTCCTCGTGATTTTTTCACCCTTTCCCCAAACAGAGAGCCTGTTGACAGGCTATTTTTATCATTGCAGGTAAATGAGAAGTTTGCGATTGACCTCGTTGATGAGGAACCACCCAAAGAAATACATGCACGCCATGTGTGGTGTGATGGAGGTGATTATTAGTTTTTCCCCTCCACAAACCTTGGATATGAATCATTTTATTCTGAAAAGCAAGCATCCCTCCTCCTGTCACTGTATATATCATGCCACAGGCATCTACATTGTGCACAAACAGTGTATCTAGGCATTGCAAGTTCTGGAACATGTCATCTTAACCCTGATAAATATTGTCATTGCTTAACCCTAATCAGTATAGTCAATGCTTAACTCTAATCAGTTTGGTCAGTGCTTATGTGAGTGGCTAGCAGTACCTTTGATTTAGTACAAACATATCCATGTAACAAGACTTACTGCATAACTATATAACAGTACCTTGTAAATAACCCAGGTCAAAAAAATTAACCTGAAATCAAAGTTGACCTGTAACATATATATTTTTTCAAACCCTGATTTGTCTACTTTCTAAATATGTACGATTATAGGTACTTTTACCTTAAAGGGAAGTTTTGAGATGTTGTTTAGTGTATGTATGTCAAAACGGAAGCATTATTACAGAAAAACTCAGGAGTCAAAGGGTTAAATCATGAAAGTATAAATTGTAAAAGTTTCATTGAAACATCATGATTCCTACATACAGTATGCCAAACTCCTTGATGGAAACAAATTAAATGTTCTGGCATTGTTTCACTTTCAAGCTGGTGTTTAAAGCAAAAACATGTTTTTAGTGAATGAGCAAGTCGGGTTACTGAGTTCAAAGTATATCTTGTGGTCCAATTTTTTTTTTTGTTTTAAATTTTTTATTACATTGTCGTTGTTGTTGTTTTCAAACTAGTTAGCATACATTAGTATACTTAGAATCAAAAAAGAATACAATTTAAACCAAGAATATATTTGAACCACAATATTATTTTATACATGATTCATTGTTGTTTTTAGGAGGTGGTGCTCTTGGACATCCAAAGGTGTACATTAATTTGGTAAGACTGTTTATACTTACAAATAGTGTTGGAAATCCTCTCAGAATTCTTAATCGGTTATCAGAAATAATAGGATTGACCCACCTAAGTGATCATTGATTATAACCAGAAAAATCTCTTTATAAGAATTTCGTTTTATTTTTGCCACTGTACCTTGTTTTAGAACATGACTAAAACATTATTTAGGACTTGAATCAGAAAAGGGACATCAGTTAATTTGGCCCTGCTTGCCATTAAGTGCCAGTGGCTCGGTGGTTAGAGTGTCCGATCTCGAACTCAGATGGTCCCTTGCCTGGAGCTAAGACTTTTTTCTCTTCTCTCGAATGATTCAATTCTCTTTCTTTCCTTATGACTATTATGTTTAATTGCCAACAAGAAACTATTTTCCCACAATCATTGATAGAACATTTTCCAAAATCGATTTAATATCGTGTTGCTCAGAAATTTCAATCGATGATTGGCACACCTCTGGTTAAAACGTTTCTGAATAACCAGAAGCTGGTCAAGGTTATCATATCACTAAATTATGGATGGTCTGATTTGTATTGTTTTGTCTCATTGCTAGATTTGCTTCTATGGGTAAATAAAGCAAACTAGGTTTGGGTGTTTGGGACTAGGAAAGATTCAAGCAGTAGTGGTGACAACTTTCTAGAAATTTTTGCAAATTCCAGATGTGAACAAAATTTTCAACTTCTTAGAAGCAAATTTCAGAACTCCAGACACGTTCAGTCACAGGTACAAAAAGAGTGTGAGAGAGTGTGCCCTAAAAACTTGAACATCCTATTTTCATTAAATAATGAAGTTTTGGGCACTTGTGGGAGGAAAACTTGCGAAGGGTTGTAAAAACTGGAGTCTTAAACTTCCTTTTGGCTCTGTAAATAAGTTATCCCAATCACTGATTCTTACAGATGCATCTTTATTTTCTCTTACAGGATCAAGAAGGACCACATGCTTGTGGTTACTGTGGACTGAGATATGTTATGGCCCATGACCATCACTAAAAATATTAATATGCTGTGTTTTTGCTCTAAACAATGAAAACATTGCTGTTTATCATGTTTTCCAGAAAAATGAAAATGTAAATACTGTTTTCACTGTAATCAAGAACTTAAATCTTAAATTAAAGTTTCATTAACAAAATAAAATGTTTTGGGGAAACATATTCGTAAATCACTTTGTAAACATACTTTTTATGAGGAAGGATAGGTGGTTGTTTTGCTAACATCTAGTTCATGACCTCTTAGTCGTTTCCTAACATTTTCTGAAAGAGAACTCTTTTCATGCAAAAATACCCTGTGTACAGACGGGACGGGCTCTGTACACAGGCTAATGCCAAAGGCTATGAACAAGAAATAATTTTATATTGTGTCTTTCTGAACTCAGAACGAGAAATGATATTTTATAGCACATAAATAAAAGTATAACACATCAGCGAACTCCCAAACAGCAGTGAAACGACTGGTTATGCAAGGAAGGGTAGAGGTATTTGCGTGCCATGGTTTTGTGTTAGTGCTGAAGTGAAGCACGGCCATTTTAGCCTGTGTAGCTGGCGGTTTTTTAGGTGTGATTTTCGAGTCACAAAAAAAAAACACACCCCCCAAAACCCCGCCAGCTACACACTCTAGGTCATACACCAGATGTAATGTACAAATTTACTTTTTGTGCCGCTGTTTACTGCTTACAAATTTACTGTTTGTAATGATGGCCGCTTGAAAAATACTTACAGTAGGCAGAGTAACCAGACAACACCGAGTTGAACAGAGTAGTTTGGACATACACTGTGTTATCAAATGACCGGTTCAGAAAACGTGATAAAGGTGCAGTTATTAACATTAGCAAATTGAAAATAACTACAGCTTCTCTTTTATTTCTTGACGAGAGACAAACTTAAAGTTACGCTGTTTAGGTAATAAAATTTTGCTGCTGAGAAAGTTCAAATAGAAGGAAAAGGGCAGGACATTTCTGGGTGAGGGAAGATTGATGATAATCACTGACTAATAACTGTTACTGAGTAAAAAATAACAAAATCTGCCATCCAATTCTCCTAATGCATACCAAGCACTCTAAACACACTTCAAGCGTTTCATGCACGTACTGCCTCGCTCATGCGTACCCATACGTCTCTGTGGCTACAGTGGCTTTGGAGTAACCTGAGAAAAGGCCCAATTTTAGCGGTTCTCATACATTCTCTCTAACGGCTACTGCTAAAATTTTGTTTTCGTTTCGCCTTGCCCGCCGGAATGTTATTACAAAGCGAAACGAAAATTGATCCTGATCTCAGGTTTCTTTGGAGTGGTTGGGGTGTAAGGTGTCCAGAAAAAAATTGCCATGACAAACCTTTGTTCACAAAATGGCATGTTTGCTTCTGTTCATTTAATTAGGCACGCTTGCAAACACGAGGAATCGATCAGTGTTCTCGAAAAAATTAAGTGCATTACAGTACGTTTAGCTGAGAAAAAATCCCGATTTGAACCAAAATGAGTTTTCAGTGGAGCATGCCCCCAGGCTACCCTAGCGAGTCGTGCCTTTGGTGATTGTTGTTCTGTCCTTGTCTGTGCTAAAAGTCTGGCTATGTAAGGTCCTGAGAGGTCATCCGTCTCAGAAATGATTGAGGTCTATTGAACTAGTCGTTCGGAGATATTCAACTTTATTTGCAAGATTTTTGTGACTTTCAAAATAACTGTTATAAACTTTGATTTATAAACACTATCTTGCCATGATAACAGCTTATAGGCAAGCTGAATGTAATACTAAAAGACTAAAATTGTTGCAAGACTAAAACAGAGGGACAATGAACTGACTGAATACGATCTACGAAGCTTCTATGACTAAATTTATCGTGTAGCTCTGACCAAAAAATGTTTACAAATAACTAATTTACAATTTAAAAATATCATTTAATTACATATGATTCTGAATATATTTTTATCTTTTTGTCTGTAAACTAGGCATTTAACAGGTTTTTCGCCAGAAACGAAGAGCGAGAGTGTCTGTTTATAAAGTGCTTTTGTTGGACAGTCTTGAACTGCTGCAAGAGTTCCTGAAAATTGATTCTCTGCACATGTTCGCGACATGGAAAGTCAAGTAATCCCCTTTTGTCACTGCAAGAGAAAAGGAACAAAACGTTAACGATTTAGGAAAATATTCGATTTACGCTTCATGGAAGCTTTTAAGAAGGATCTCTCTCTCCCTCTTCCTCTCGCTCTCGCTCTCTCTCTCTCTTTTCACGGAGTGTGCAGACACCAACCACTGTCTTGGAGCCTAGAACAGGCTACACCCAAGAGGGCTACACTTTTTCCCGATTTTAACCGTTGAGGTACATCTGTAGAAAAAGGTGGGGGAAACTGCCACTTGAGTACATAGAAGGATCGTTCGTCTAGAAGCGGCACAAAGCGACTCGTTTCCACCCGCAGATATCACTACTTAAGGAGCTGCGTCACAAAATTCCTCAAAATTCAAGCAGTGGAAAGTACCACCAAATGGAGTAAAACATGATACATAATTTAACCGCTCAAAACATTAAACTAAAGACGATATCAGCAAATACAAACGAAGGCTGGAATAAGCAAAACTGAAGATTAAAACGGATTGCAAATCTTTTAAGTTCAATTTTGTTGTTTGATAAGATGCGTGAGAAACACATATTTGTTTGACACGCGCGAGGCGGTGATTTTGTCATTTATAAAGTAACTTCTTCGCTAAAGGCACGGAAAAACGGGCGAAAAAAACCTACAACTTGTCTTGCAACATTGCTGAAAAACGAGTTAAATAGCGATGTCTTGCCCGTTTTACCACCCGCGTTCAAACCTGTTGATAACCTGATCTGTTGCAAGACAGGTTTGACGTGGGTGGTAAAACGCGCAACATCGCTATTCAACTCGTTTTACAGCAATGTTGCAAGACAAGTTGTACGTTTTTTGTTGCCCGTTTTTCCGTACCTTAACGTTAGATTCAAAAGCGAAAAAGGACGCGTAGTTTGAAATTTGTTTAAAACAAACTAGAGAGCCGAGACAGCCCAGATTACTGATGGATTACTTATGACAAGAGTCTTTTTTAGTCGAAAGTGATATATAGGAAGGTAAGAGTTTGGACCTCCAAGACGAGCACTCGAATCTAAGTACAAAACTTTATTGTTGAGTACCTCCTAAATATACACTGACCCTTTGTGACTTCCTCGTAACAGAACTTAAGTTTCACTCACAAGATCATTACCTGATATCACATGAGAGTATCCTGCCATTTGGTACACAGTCCAGTCTGTTCCGTAACGTAGTAAAGGCATCACTTTGAGGAAGAAGCATCAATAAGCCGTACAATGACTTGAGAAGGAAATGATTGTGTTGTGTGTCCAACAGCTGAAGGCGCAAGTCTGAGTGGAGGTTAAAAGATGGAGTTTTAAGTTTTTGCTCGGAATGACATTTAAAATTCTGAGAAATCTTATGTGATCGCGCTGTTAGATATAAAGCCATGCATACTTACATGTAAATATGGGAGACTCTATGAGTTGAACAAGTTTGTCTATCTGGATGAGAAATTCAACATTCACTTCCAGTTGTCCACTGATGGCATGAATGTCAAGGGATATAACTGTTACAATGATAACAACATAAATCATAAAAATATCAGCTTGCATGGCCACACCGGCGCCATACTCACCCTGAACTATAGAATTTACCGACACCAACAAAAAGTACAAAATGTACGGTATGAGTTAGAAGTAGATCACGCAGTTAAGTTACATTTAAAACTTAAGGGATTAAAACGTCGGCCATAAGATCAAAACCAAAGTAACAAAGTAGCCAAACACAATGCATGCACTAGACAGTCACGGTCAAAGGAACCAGTCAGATCTCAAAGCAAATACATGCCGCCAAGCGCGGGAAACACGTGTGACCTTGTGTCAGTACGTTAAGTTTTAATTCAAATTTGTTGAGAGAGAGTGGCGTAAGATTTTCAGCCAATTACATGGAGTCAGAGTAGGACTTTCAATAATCAAAACCTGTTCTGAGAACCAAGATAAATCGTATAATATCCGGCAAAATTGCGGAAAGGATAGTGGTTGTAAAGGATACAAAATCACGAGAAGATCGCAAGCATGTTTGTAGTTTTGTGTTAACAGGCACAAGGAGACTGTTGCAACGGGATTATGACACCACGATTGATATAAACAGCAAAACAACGAACAGCTATCCTAGAAGAGAAAGCAAAGCAGAGGTAAAAACTAAATTAAGATGAAAAGACACTGTACAACAACAACGGGTTCAAAGTCGTCATTAATTTGGCCAACGTCACTGTAAAATTTTCGTACAACTCATAATTCAATCTCGTTTTCTAGACTGGATAAGAATATGTTACGTGCTATGTGCAAAACTCTAAAGTCCCTAGGCCGAACAAAACTCACTTGCCATGTCCCTAGGGAGCTACTCGCACCAAATCAGTTCCTGTACTTCGAAACCGCGAGAAATCTATGTCCAAGTATTCGCAGTCGCAGCCGAGAAATCAACTTAAAAGATTTGTTTCATTTTTTACTTGGAAGGAATAACAAAGCACTGAAAAACAAACCCCACAGGCAAACAATGATCTTTGTTCTTCTCGACCCTCAACGTTCTCTGAAGCAAAGATGAACAAAATTCGCTGTTTCCCTTGAGGCCAGCCAAGAGACTTGACGCCGAACTGAGGGATTCCCTAAGTTCAAAATCGAAACACATTCTGTATTGACTGTTACTTACAGGTGTAGCCAATTCTCTGAGCTGGTCGCGGAGATCAAACAGTTCACTAGATGTCAGCAAAATCATGTTCAAATATCGCACCATGAGCGATGCAAACAGCAAGTCCTCTTCTTGAACAATTATCTCTGATAATGCTCTGTAAATGTCCTCTGCATTTAACAGAAGACAGAGCTGCCTAAAGAACGATAGAGATAAAAATTGATACAGCAAAGTTCAGTTTTCTCGCAATAGAACGTGCGCTAAAAAAAAGTAACAGGAGTTGCAGGAGGTGCTCTAAATGCAATGTGAAGATTTTCACTACAATGTGAAGACTTTGACTCTGAAGATGACTACCGCACAGGTTGTCGAAACGTCAGTCACTGCCAACAACAACAGTCCTATTCAGGACCACGTTCACCCAGACGATCAAACTCAACCTACTTTTGAAATAAGTCCTGGGTTCAAACCTTTCACAATGTAGTTTCTGCTACAATTTGAGCAAACACTGTGAAAGAAAGCTTTGGCCTCGTTTTTTTCAAGACTTATTCCACTTCCGTTTAGGCTATCAGCTTTTGCTTTTGCCAAAGACAGCAACTTATAGTTTTAGTAGGTTTCGTTTGATAAAGTTAATAGTTGAGGTTACGACAATTTTTTGGATAAACTATTTCTTTAACGTTGAACATATACGTGACAACGCAGGGCTCGAGTCCCATCCGATAGTCCGCGGCAAGAAGACTTTCTTGCTGGGGGAGTAACTTAATAAGCTTACTTTCCCAATGTGCGACGGTCTAGGCAAGTCATCCCGTAATTAAATCATTAGAGAAATTAAGCATCGCGTTTACGGCAAACGGCAAACGTGAGATTCAAGTTGAGAAATTTTTAAAATGAGTTATGTGCAGATAAAAATAGCTTGAAACAATTCTTACGGATAGAATTGGCGTGAATCTACCGATTTTCGCGTAGCTATAATGAACAGTAAACGACAAGTAGATGAAAAACTTGGCCACGTGGAACAAATTCACGTTTGCCGTTTGCCGTAAAAGCAATAGGCTAACACAAGCAAGAACTGCCACGAGCAAGCAAGGTCTGAGAGCTTCTTGCCCAAGGTAAAAGCTCGAATTCAAGTTTTTTTCAAGCCCTGAAACATCAAAAACTTTACGCATAAACCTGAGCCATCGAGACGTTAATCTCGGGTTTCCGTCTTCCACAATCAGAAGATTGGAAATGAACTTTCCCGCGCAAACGACGCGCTGCACGCGGCCAACACCGCGGGAAACTAATTTGCGTGTAACCGCTTTTTTTCTACAGTGTAGGAATTTGCTTTTCCCAAGCGTGTGTGTGACCACAACGACTGTAAAGTTATTGTGGTCTATCAAAGTGAGGTCATGCTTTAGCCTAAACTGATGAAATACAGCAGCATTGTTAGCTTCAGATTTAAAATATATACACCTTATTCGATGGTTTAGCATGTAGAAAAATACGAGCAATGAGCAAAATGTCCGCTCGTATTATATGCTAAACCATCGAATAAGAGGTTTATTATTCCACTACAAAAAAAAAATTATCTGGCAATTGGCTTCTATTTTATGGTATGAGTATTCAGAGACATCCTGATTCTGTCTGTGAGAATGACGTTAACAATTAGCATAATGTTCGCGGGTATTATATGCCAAACCATTGAATGAGAGGTTACTTATTTTACTGCAAAAGAAAAATGGTATTTTGGCTTCTATTTTCTAAAGAGAGTATCCAAAACATCCTGATTCTGTCAGCCACAGTTGCTCCTTTTGCATCCGCCGGTATTCGCCCTGTTGTAAAGCGGTTAAACCAGGAGACTACGGTGTATTACGGCCTCGTATTTTGCTTGTTCTCTTGACCTTATATGGTAAAATGACATAATAGTGGAAAAATAAACTGATTTAATGCACTTAATGCATTTTGAGGGTTGTAGAAATATTAATTGTACACTCAATTGAAGCAGGTATAACTTACCTCAAAATAAAAGAGCCTCTTTCTTCCAGCAGTTTTCTATCTGTCCTAAACAACTGCATGACATTGTGCATGAATTTGTGAAAGTACGTATTGAGCTGCCTGTGAGGGGCAGATGCCTGATCTGATGAGCTGCTGACCGGGGAACCAGCTTCAGACATGCTTTGTGTTGAACTATTCCTTGGAGGTCCAGCTGGGGAGGCAGAAATTTCTGCAAGTGCTTCCAAATCAAGAACAACAACCTGCAAGAAAAGAACTTTATAGTTCGTTTGTTTGTTTGTTTTTTTTTCACACTGTATAAGTGTGGAGCTAAAGGGTGAACATGGCAAAGGTCATAGTGGGTTTAAAGTGATACATATTTTTGTGAAATTATTTGTATTTTATTTATTTTTTCCATTTATTTTATATTACAGGCCATTTATAATATATACCCCCCCTCCCCACCCATATATTACAGATTTGAAGATATCATTCACAAGATTTAAGAGTCAGATTGCAAGAAAAAATGGAGAAGGGCGAGACATAGAAACTAATTACGTCACCTTAGCTTAAATTACAGTTTTATTTCGGATAAAAGAGAAAAAAAGAGAAGCATATAAAGTATGAAATATAAAAGAGAGGAAACAGGAGAGAAACACATAAATATAGAACATACAGGGGTCGGTGTGATACATATACACATGTACTAATATGCCTAAACCAGAACAACATTAGTTGTCAGAAAATAAATGCAATGTTCACATCCTCATTTTGATGAAATCCTTCAGATTTATTACACCAGGGCAGATTTGTTTCAATCTTCTGCATTGTGCTCACATGCATTACACCTGGCTAGAGGTTCCTTATATCAAGTTCTATTCTAAACAAATTTAACTTAACTGTAACTTAAGAGGGAGGGTCTCTGTACTTCATGGTTGCACTGTACATACCTCATCTGAGGGATCTGATAAAGTATCCAACAGTTTAGGGAAAAGCTGATCAATTTGACCAAAGATCTGTAAATATAAAAAAAAACCTACCTCTTTTTTTTTGTTACAAATATAATCATAACGTATTTTGTCAATGCTGATAAAGAAAGTAATAACTTAAGGTAATGAATAAAAAGGATGAAAACCTCAAAAATACGAAAATATCACTTTTGGCTTATTTGTCATCACTTTTGCATACCTGTCCAAACATTTTAATAACAATCACATGATTCAAAGAGTTTAAAGTAACTATGATTATACACCTTATTCCAAAATTGTGACAACACTACTTTTCTTTCACATTAATTTTATGTTTATGTTTATCATCTCTCTTTGCCTCGATTCAGCTGGAGAATTTTTAAAAAAGAAATTTTACCTTGAAGCAAGGCATCGGAGGGCCAGTTATCATAAAGACAAAAGAAAAACAAAAGTTGATGCCAATTAAGAATAAGGTGTACAACTACCACTGAACTGAATCAAAATCCCTTGAAAATTTAAGAGTTGGATCAGTACCAAGTCTAACTAACCTTATTAGGTGTCTTTACATGCAGAAGCAACACCCATCGCAACACAGCTATTCTGGTCTGAATTGACTTGTGAGTCATATAAAGAGTTAGTACATCTACCACAGGACCAACGTCAAGCTGGGTTTGAGGCTCAACAACAGCGTTATCACAATCCATGGCTACACTGTCACTGTCAAAGTCTTTGTCATCATCCTCAGTGATCAGTCGCATTAGACTTTGATTGACAGCTTTGGCTACTTCTTTGATATTTAAACTAAGTCAAGGTTGATTAACAGAATTCTAACAGAATTTTTCACAATGCTGTTTAACCTTTTAAGCCCTAAGAGTGATCAGCATCAAATTTCTCCATGTAATATCAATGCTTTGTAAAACAGAGTGGTCGTGAGAAATAAGGACATGATCACACAAGATGAATTTGCTTAATGTTTTGTCAACTTCTCCCTACTGCTTCTATAGGAAATGAATAGGGGCAACAAATGAGAATTTCAATTTTGATCCTAGGGTTTAAAGGGTTAAACTAATAAATTTATTTCATTCCCATTTAGCTGCCCCATGGGGTCTCTGAGCATAAAATATAGGTGGTTGATTATAATACATGTATGCAATATTAAAGGATATTTTGTTTGTCTTGTTCATAAGCCATGCACGGTAATATTGCTTTTAAAATGCCTGCATTGAAGGGCAGCATTGTACGCCCTGAGAGTATAATAAACTCTCTCAGCCAGGTGATAGCAGTAAACTGGATGACATCATCTAAAGGAGAAAAATAGGAAAGAAACTCACTTCATTGAAGCCATGTTATATACAACTGTAAGATCAAAAGTAAAATATTATAAATAATAATATTAATTTCAACTTAAGCCTTAGGTATGATCGTCGTAGTGGTTATTGCTATTTAAGCAACTGCAAATTAACCCGGAAAAAAAAAATCTCGGACTTCATTGGGATTCAAACCCATGGCCTCTGTGTTAGGGCTGCAAGTGCTCTACCAACTGAGCTATGAAGATCCATACATTGGGAGCAGGCCAATTTGTTGAGTTCATCTTAACCCGTGATTGGAATGAAACATAGAATGAAGATGACACAGTGAAGATTCTGCCATTGGGACATACCATAAAATTCCAAAAAATAAGCCCCTTACCCTCCACATATAAGCCCTCCGAACCAGTAACGCAAAAAACCCTCTGTTAAATCGCCCCTCCAAATATAACCCCCCTGGGAGCTTGTACTTGGAAAATTGCCCTCAAATACAAAGTAAAACAAAGCTAAAACGGTAAATTTCCTTCCAACTATAAGGCTAGCCCAATCGATTTTGAAACGCAAATTTTCCTCCATAGATAAGCCACACGGAATATAAGCCCCTACAAAAATAAGCCCCTCAAAAAGGGCCTTTGAAAAATATATGCCCAGGGGCTTATTTTCGGAATTTTACGGTATTACAGGAAAAATATATCCATCAACACCAACAACTGGACGGATTAATTCTGAAAGCTCTGCTAAACTTTCAACAAATTGTTGGCGTTGGAGAATAGTTTTTCCTACAGAATGAAGATGATGTGAACTGTGGAAATACAAATTTCAGTTGATAGAGCACTGCAGCGCTAACGCTGAGGCCATGGGTTCAAATCCAGTTGAAGTCCTGCAACAATCATATCTTGCATTTACAACTTGTATTTCCACAGTTCACATCATCTTCATTCAATAAATAATAATATTATTATTTGCCCAAATTACATAAAGCCAAAACGCACATAAGATACAAGCAAGAAAGGTATTGAGTTTTTTAAATTTGTATGAATGATGAGGACAATGATGATAATGATGATGTCATAATGATGGCATTATGATAACAAAGATGTTGATAATTATGATGATGACGATGATGATGATTATATAACTACACATATATCATAAGGCTTAAAATTTCGTACAAGTATTAACTGAGGCAATTACCTTCTGATTGTGAATGTAAAACCAAAATGTTGACCATATTAGCAAAGTTGACAGTTTTAGATTCTCTCTTGATCCCTCTAAGGAATTCACCCAAGACTGCTTCACACCTACACAGTTGCATGAAAGGCATTAGTATTATTCTAAGCAAAACTTGGTTTGAGGATTCTTTAGATAGGGGAAAAAATGAGCTTGTTACTTATTTTCCACTTGATTCTTGATAATTCGTATACATATGTGACGATTAAATATAGTTTGAGAATTTTAAAACCAGTCATTGAAGGATCAAGCTGAGAATCTAGACACATGAAAAAGAAACATAATGAGCTTACTGGAATATTTTTTTAATTTTGGAATTTCTTGAAGTTTCCATCCATCTATCAGTCATACAGTAGATGAACAGGTACTCTGTACCCCTTAAGCCTTTAAGTCCCAATAGTGACCAACATCAATTTTCTCCTAACAATATCCATACAATTTCAAGAGATTAGGTTATGAGAATTAATAAAATGATCACCTGAGAGAAAATGCTTTAATCTTTTATCAAATTCTCTCAACTCATTCTTTAAGGAAATGTATAGAGATCAGTTTGGAGAATTTGTACATGTACATTGGAGCTTAAAGGGTTGACACTCCATTGTGACTTACATTTTTCTGATTTCGGCATTACGATCCTTAAAGATGTTGAAGAGCCCATCAAGAAACTCTGGGAGGTGGGCAATAAGATCCAGGTCTGGAACCGCATCTATCACCATGAGCTTAAACAGAGAATCAAGAGTCCACATTACCCTTCAACCCATGTCATGAAGGATACAACAAATTAATGAGAACAAGTTATGTGTTAAAAAATTACCAACCAGTTTAAAAATTTCAAACCAGTTTCAAAAAATTTAAACTGGTTTAAAAAATTTCAAACCAAAGATTAAATTTGAACCACAAAACTATATAATTATGTTACTGTTCAAATTTGATCTCACGTTAATTTTAATTTAACCTAGGTTGATGCTCAAGTTCCTTTCATAAGCCCTCTAGCCCTGGTAGACAAAAGAAATCAAGAATCAAGCTCGGTTTAAAATTTTTAAACTGAGAACAAATTTGACCTGTAACATATACACACAGTGTTGATGTCTGTCTGAAGAACAGCAACTTCAGTATGGATTTTTTTTGTTATTGAAAGTGGTGGATAAAATTGAAACTAAAACAATATTTTAGAGCTACAAAGGTATCTACAGTTCAGTTCAGAGATAAGAGAACAAAATGCAGATGCTCTTATTCCCTACAACACTCACCCAAGACACTAAAAACTGCTTTGCAAATGGATTTGCTGTATAAATTCTGTCTCTCAACAATGGAATAAAGGACACCAAATCAAATGAGGAGCTTTCTGTCACAATATCCTAAGGTACAATTCAAAATATTAAAAATTAATGAAGTGATGAAATCATAATTATGATAACAAGTTGACATGTTTCTTGGTACACTGTATACACATAATTCACATATTAGATTTTATTGACTACAGAAGCAATTTAGTGGCCTTAGCACCCACAAGTCTCCTGTACTTTAGTGGTAGAGTTCTATCTGGACAAATAACAACAAGATCATAGGTTCCACTCCTACTGGCAGTACTTGGATTTTTTCTTCCCAGCCGCCTGTGTCACTGACTGAAAAATCAGCTTTCTCAATTTACCATTTTCACATAGACCATAATGTTCCTTGTTTACCCCCCAAAACTGTTGCATAAAGATTGTCTTAGATATCTCTTGGGATGACTGTAATACCCAGGAGAAACTGGAAACAAGGGTCATGCAATTTTTTTTTTTTTTTTTTTTTTTTGGGGGGGGGGGGTAAATAAGGTGCTCTATGGTCTATGTGAAAGTAGTGAATTTCTGGGATTTTTAATACCTGTAATTTTATACATTACATACATACATATAACAGAGACAATACTCTGCTGTTATTTAGCAATGATACCGTCATGTTACTTACTTTTATCAACCTGTCAAGAAGCTCTGCTCCATTTTTTACATTTGGATCTGGATCAGCTGCAAGCTGAACAGTCAACAACAACAATCACTTTGAGAACTTGCAGATTAGGTTTAAAACAGATGATAACATTATTTCACACCATTACAAAGTTTAAGGAGGGGAATGAAAATACAGTGAACAAAACTGACTCATTTTGGATACACGTAGATTTTATACCTTGTAAGTCATAAAAGTGACCATTATTTTTTTCTCCTATTTTGTTTATTCCCTTCTGTTTTGTTTTGCTAAACTAATAATGATGGTTTGCTGTTTGTACTGTATAGTGTATTATTCCTATGTGGATTGTTGGTTGGCCGAGAGACTGACAGATATTGCTTGATTGATTAATATTGATTGATTGATTGATTGATTGATTGATTGATTGATTAACTGATTGACTGATTGATGATTAATTGATTGATTGATTGACTCTATGTCTGTCTTACTGGATAACTGTCTATAGATCTTACTGACAAACTGTCTGACTTGCTGAACGTGTAACTTAACGGTTTGTAACAATAGGCTTTTGTAACAGATCAAGTTTCATTATGTAATGATTACACTCGACTGTTGGCGTGTTTCTTGCCTGAGCAGCTGTTTAAAATACATGATTCTTAAGTCACTCCAGTCCTGAGTCCTTATTTGAACGCGTAGCCCTTTTACACGGTTGACTAATTTATTGACTGACTCAATGATTGACTGCATGGTATGGTATTACTCACTTTACTGAGGCCATCAAATACATCATTGAAGAATGGCAATACAGAGCCTCTTGCTACCTTGGCAATGTTATACAGAGCTTCACAGGCATAGTAACGTACTCGGCTGTCTTGATCATAAAAACAAGCCAAAACTGGAGGAATAAGATTCTTCAGGTACAGTCCAGCATCCTGAAGAGAAAAAGAAGTTGTAAAATCAGTTTGTAACTGGTACACATCTGACATGCTGGCCTGTACATGAGATACACATTCAGTAGTTTTGTGTGAGAGACCACTCTACTAACTCTTACAGACACTTTGTTGTCATGGATGCCAGCACTTATATGAGCGGTAAGCAAATTCCTCACAAAACAAACTCATTATTCTGTCCCAATGTCATAGCCATTGGTATCTAGCCTCCCACGCAGGCGTTTTTAGGGGAGGTCGTTTTTCATCCCTCCCCACAAACGCCTGCTCAACCGGAAACAACATTCCTTTCACATTGTTTTATTTGCATGGTAAGTGACCAATAAACAGTTGCGCAATAAACTGTTGACAGGCTAAACGCGACTAAAACGTGACCCTACAGTTACCGTTTTCCTCCTTTTCTTTCCTTCGTTGAGGTTATGAAGTGCATGGAGTATTCTAAAATTTGATTAAATCTTATTTTTGCCGCTCTGAATCTAACATTTATTGGAGGTTAGAAAATTTTTCCAGTGTTTCATGCAGATCGAGTAATTATCAGATTACCTTGCGGTCAAGGTCAACTTTCCAGAATTTGGAAAGCACAAAGTGATTGGCTAAGCGTGGGAAAGGAATGTTGTCTTCCATTGAGCAGGCGTTTGTGGGAGGGATGAAAAACGAGCTCCCCTAAAAACACCTGCATGGGAGGCTAATTGGTATCAAGCAGCCATAAAATTTCTATCATCGCCTTAGTCTATTCAGTTAGATTTTTGTTTCTTCTGTTGTGTATTTATCTAATAATTCCTCTTCTCCACCTCCTAAAGCAGTCTTACTATATACTCTCACTCCTATGAATAAGGTCCATTCTGTCTTTATGTGAAAACTACCGTAAAATTCTGAAAAATAAGCCCCAGGGCTTATATTTTTCAAAGACCCTTTTTGAGGGGCTTATGTGTACAGAGGGAAATTTGAATCTCAAAATCGGCTAGGCTTATATAATACTGGGAGGAAAATTTACATCTCAAAATTGATTGGGCTAGCTTACAATTGGAAGGAAATTTATGCTACTCAGAAATTTGCAGAAAGTTTTTAATGAAACTCGCCTTGAGGACATAGATCTTACTAAAACTCAGCCATGCAAGTACATTGTCTATATGGAACAAGGAAATCCAAGCCAAGGTTAACAGTAAAGGACGCAAACAGCAGTATACTGTGAAACTTTTTTACTACAATCATTTGGCACATTTAATAGCTCTTTGGCAAACGCAAAATGTATGTGTTACTGTACAGTTTTTGCTTAGGGGGGCGATTTAACTGAGGGTTTTTTTGCGTTACGAGTTTGGGGGGCTTATATTTGGAGGGGCTTTTACATGGAGGGGCTTATTTTCAGAATGTTACGGTATTTTACGGTGTTGCTTTGGAATGTGCTGAATAAAAAACACCCTATCATTGCCGCACTCTAAAATAATTCAAACACAATTGGCACAATAATAGTGACAGGACGGCAGGAAGAAGAGGATGGCAAAACGCTTGTGTGTGACAAACGTGACATTGCTATGACGAGTTTTGTCGTGATCTTTACTTAACATTAATGTTTTCTGGTCTTTACAAAAAGATCCGTTTAATGGAAAGTGAAATTTGGCGAAAAATAATTATTTCAAACAAAATTATTGTCACGCTTGGGACACAAAGTTTGCCATCTTCGTTCCTCTCCCATTCTGTTGCGTGAGTTCACTAATAACAATAATATTAACTTATGTGACTTCTTGATCTTCTTGTAATAAAGCTAATTGAGGAAGTACACAGTAGAAGTTGACTGATTGTATTTGTAAGGGTACCTTTCCTAAAGCAATGGCAGTAGCTGCCAACCCAATAAGCCCTCCTTTTCTGGAGTGATTGTTGTGGGAAACTGCAAACTCATCAGCAAGGACAGCAGTCAATCGTGTTATTTGCCGAACATCATTATTCGCGACGAACTCTTTGACCATACTGATAGTGAAACGAAGATTCAAAGAAGCGACAATTACCTCGACACGAATATGTCAGCGAACACAACGTAAGAATTATAGCAAATCAAAGGCAAAATGACTTTAATACAATCAACAGAACTGAAATAAAAAATAAACTCGTGTAAGATTCGGATCAAACGAAAACATGGCGGCTAGTCAAAACGCCAAAACGTTGGCTTACCGTTCAATTTCCAAGGCAGCTGTTTTCCTTTTTTCGTACAATTTATCGTTCAATCCACGCACAATGTTCTGTGTTAAGGGTAAAAAGTCTTTCTCTGCCATTGCAAAGAAGAATCGAACCACATTTGGACGAAACTTCACACTGAGAAATACAAGACTGCAAGCAGTTATCTTACAGGCGTACCATGCTGTTATAACGCTCGACCCAGGCCTATATTGTTCAAAAGGTCGCTTGAAAACCCCTGCGAAGGTCCCCCAGATTTTTTTTTTTTTTTTTTTACTTTTCCTTATTCGTCTGCCATGATTCAGTCTTTGAGGTTACTCCAATGCTGTTTCACCATTGTGGCATATTGTACAAAGTGCCAATTTTTCTTTTCCAGAAATGAGATGCAAATAGCGTGATTTTGAACATCTGACATATCCTGCTGTTCAGGAAACGAAACGGGGTGTCCGAATCCACATCGATCACTTCATCAATAGAAAGCGAGAACAAAAAGCTCGAAGATTTAATCTGCCCCCTCAGCAGATTCAATTAGACGCCTAAGTTTAAAAAATTTCTTTTCGTGTTATGAATGTTGCAATTCAAACATTCAGTATTATGAATTTTTGCTTGCCATTGACCTTGCTTGTTTCAACAGTGCAGTTGAAGAGATAAAAGGCTTCCCTTCGTTGAATCAACCTCTTGTTACCAAAGTCCGTTCGATTTTCAGTCGAAGTCATTTCAATTTTGATGTTTATTACCAGCATTTTCTCAATTAATCTCGAAATCTGCCAGAAGCCAAACCGTCATACCCGTACAAACTTGATTACGACCAGGAGAAGATAAAACTCTTGAATCCCATTTTTATCGTTCACCAGATTTAACCACGGTCAGCTGACTGAATGCCTATATTTGTTGGCGTTTATAAACTGAAATCTATTGTAGCTTCCCCTGCCCTCTAAACAGTAATCATAACATGCGTAATACAATAACATGGTCCTATTATAGCTGTTAACTTCTGTAATCAATTACGTTTCAGAGGTCTGAATTTTTGCCAGTAATAAGGGAAAATCTTGGAGATGAAAGAGGGAATTATTTTGGGTTACCCGGAGCTTCTTAACATCCATCATCAGCTAAGGCACCCGTGTGCATGTTATGGCATCTTCCCGGCAATTTTCTCTACATTCACTGCATGTAATTAGCGGCAAATCATTATATCCACCAGATGTATCTCTGCTTTATTTGACATGATAATCTCTTTATTTCTGTATAATTTTCTCTTATATTAGAAGTGGCACTACAAATTTTATTCAGAATGCCCAAGCATGATGATCGGGTCACTAACTAAACGCAAATTAACTGTCAGGGAGGGCAAATGGAACGCCGTGTGAAAAAGTGAAAGAGTAGAGTATTCTCCTTCGGCAAAATGTAAAACTGACAAGCGAGATGTATGGTTTTCAGACAAGTCAAAAGAACGGTCCAATACACGAAACAAAGAATCTTCAAAGGCGGAAATTCTAAGTTATGTGTAAATGGGGCTATCAGTCAGTTATATCGTATCAAGAGAGCGGAATAGTTTTTTCTTAGTCAGTATTTAGAAACGATCAGTAATTAATCACACACCTACACCGGATGGGGAGTTCAGCCCATCATGCCATGATGCAGTGATAAATTGCTCTCAATACATTTTACCATGGAATAATGGATTTGGAAATGATTGTCCGTCATACACGAGTGTTTTATCTAAAAATGAACTCATGTCTTTAGAATAACATGCAATGCATCCGTTCGTCCGAAGACTGCTTAAAATATTTTTCTTTAGTATATAATCTGTTACACGCTGATTAGAAGCTCAGTGTTTTTTAATATTTTTCTCAAGCGAAGAGTTAGGTTTTAGATACAACTCGTATTGGGACTTGATTTAAGTGTAACATATTTCACGATCATGTTCTTTCTAAGTCGTGAAACTCAATCCATTTTCATAGACTGCAAAACGCAGTCGGTTTTTTTCTCAAAATCGGTTTAGCGTAGCCTCGGCTACCGTGAGACCCCGTCCTCTCTCCATTCTCCCACTCGTTCTCCAATGAAAGGTGAGAAGGTGAGAAGTGTATTGTTCGGTGGTTCTAGGGATCCGCCCAACCATCCGGGTGGTGTCGCCAATTTATAGCGCAAGAAC